TATATATATATATATATATATATTATGTGTACGCTGTGAAATAATATTTAATATTTAATTATATTTTGTGTATGTACAAATATATAACACATTTTTCTCTCTTCATTTGCTGCAAAAATTATCAGCATCTGTTATCGGTATTATTTATGATACGATACCTTAACAGTGATCTTAGTTTGGCCTGATTTTTCCCAACGTTTTAATGCTGATGGATTTCTCGTAAGGGCAATTTTGTATGCCGCAATAGCACCGTGGGCACACTGCGCTGCCACTTTGCCCTTTTCCATTTTTAATTTATTATTAATTGCTAGAACCATCTTGTAAGGTTCAGATTTCGAGTTGTTCATGTAACTGTCAAAACACTCATCCTCATTATCATTATCGTCCTCATCGTCCTCATCATCATCACTATCTTCCCAATCTTCAGATTGTGACTATACACATAGAAAATTATCATTAGTATGTTTAGTTAATTAATTAATTAACGAATGGAAACTTTTAATTTCATATTTATAATTAAAATGCATTTAGAGATGAAGCAAATGTAGAAGTTGTTTCATTATTTTTTTTAACTATATTTAAAAATTTACATTTTTATGATCTGCTGCTGTTTACTTATTTTATGTACATGTAATCCGTATGTACAAAGTGATGATAAAGATAACGATTATATTCCTCACATATTCTTCTTATATCCAAAAAAAGAAATGTTCATAACAGAGGAGATAACATTGATTAGAATGATCTTGACATGTTATCAAGATCATCGCCCTGCAAAAGCTTATGGTTGTTGCTTCATTTATTAAAAAGTTACTAACAAATCAAGTTGACAAGTTGTACAAGCGATTGTTGCCAAAATCACTTTTATAGAAATCACTTTAGAAGATTAAAGATATGAATAACAAGTTAAATGATATAGGGCAGCAAAAAACATTAATGATGTTTATAACAAACAAAAAGTAACAGCTAAGATCTTTTAAATATTATTAAAGGCCTGTTTCACAACATAACTTAATCCATCAGTTAAGTGTCAACTGTAATTAGTTATTTTTGGTCAACGACAAACTTCTGCTTAACGACAATTGCAATTGGTCAATTCCAATGGAGTAATCAGTGATTAAGTTAATCATGAGAGATAAAATTGTGAAACTGACCCTAAGAAGTGACTTTGATAACACATGTAAACATCAAGCTAATCTAAACTGCTTATTATAAATTTTTATTAAATTAGCTTATAACATTAATGACAAATATTAATCTTAAGATCCTAAATATTTGTGTAATTTACATTTTGGCCTGGTATAATTCTCCTTAGAATAGATTTCCTTCCTAAAACTGTATTCCTTAAAATTGTGTTTATAAGAAAACCACAAGTAAACGCAAGTGCAAATTGCGCAAATGTAACTTTCGAATCTCTTGCCACAGCTTCACCTAGAGCTTTCATCATTGCTTCACATTGTAATAGCTGGAAACCCATACACATCAGTTAAAAAACATTATTCGTCTCATCCACTTAATACGTGCCGTGTGGGCAATCAATAGCCCACGTTGGATTTTCGTTCAGGCTGTATGACGTATATATTACATTATCTTTTCCCTTCATATAATACAATAATAATTTTTGTAATCTTATAAATATTATATGATATATCTTATAAAGATATATAATAAAAATATATAATAAACGTGATAATCGTGAATAGAAAATTATGTGAAATTAGCGCGGCAACGCTCAATGTGTTAATTTTATTAAATTGACACAGCGGTAATATTTCATCGAGGAAAAATTCAAGTTATTTGATTATAACGTTCTTCGTTTTTCTCTTTATAAATTCTTGTTGTTTTAATATAGTTTCTTTATATTTTACCAGTTCTTCTGGCATGTTCAAGCAGTGGCTAAGCAACTTGTCGTAAGCAGCTGTATCAGGTGTCTGAGTTGACTTTCAATCGTCAATATCAAACAATGCCAAACAGCCTTTCGTCAGTGTTCAGCAAGCATATGACACTGTTGACAAGGAAGCTTAATATAATACTAATCTCTTTTTTTCTTACAATAAGTTACCAGTAAAAGTCCTCTCCCTCCTTCGACAAGTGCTGAGAGAAACCCCGGCGATTCATCAACTGTCACTCAAACTCATAAGTCTGTTCGCGTTGCTAGCATTTTGCACCCAATGTCCGTTGTATATCAGATACGATGAACGATATCCAATGATAGCTTCCTTTTAAAGAGAGACCAATGTGCAACAGATGTTATGTGTAAAAATGTACAAGCAACGTAAACAAACCTCATGTCACGTTATGCCTATGTCACATTACGGATTAAGATTGAGACTGAATTGAAATTTGACGAATCAAAACAAAACTCACTAAGCTGAAAGAAAACAATTGACTGTGATTGGTCAATTTCTTAAGATTTTGTGATTACACGACTAATGTAGAATCAGCTTTATTGCGGACGTGGACTGAAATCATTGACCAACCAATCTTTGGCTGCTTCAATCTGATTGGTTGGTCAATGATTCGCAGTTTGCAATTCAAATACAACCCGCGTTCGCAATGCATAATGCGACACGGGCTACAACAAAAATAACAGGATATCGTAGGACAAATCTCGCTCGAATTGATAACTCTTGGAAATATGAAATTTCATCCATCATTGCCGAAACGCTAGCCTCTTATCTTTTTGGAACTAAATTAATTCAATGAATTTTGTATTTAGCGTAAAAAATACCACATATTTTTATCACATGAATCATAATTAGTTGACTGATGCCCGTTTCTACCATCACAATTTTAAATTGGCGATCGACCCAACGGAATCGACCAATCGTATTGCTCGGTTCAATTAATCGGCCGATGTGATTGGTCAATTCGCTGTTGTGATATTGATGACGGGCATTAGTCCCTACATCAACGTTAATTGAATAGAGAACTTTTCGAATCCCCCAGAGAAAGTTCGGGGCAGTTGCCTGCGATGGATGTTGACATTTCTCGCCGTCAATGGTGCTGAATGGCAGTCAATGGCGTACAATAGACGCACCTGTGTCGATGCGTCAAAGGAATCTCGCGTGCTATATCGGACAACGCCGCCCGGGAGTCGCGCTATGCGCTCGTAGGAGTGGCTCTTGCGAATCAATTGACGAGAAATTCGTACGTACCATCGCGCTGTGATACGAATGTTGTCTAAGATTGGCATGTTAAAAGGCAGCGAACATGGAAGTGACGGGCACGTCCAGGGTGGCTGACACTCGTCTCTCGACAGCAGATTCGAGTGCCGGCGATGCTAATTCAGGGCTCAACAACGACTTCCCGGGGAGCGAAGAGCTGTCGCGCGCCGATGATGTAACGGCTGGCAACGAGGAAGTTACCGATGCGTTAGCAACGAACCACGATTCTGCCCCCGACAACGCGACGAGAGAAAAGCGAAGTAAATGCGCCGATTCGTCGCACAGTCCGCAGCAAACATCGGAGGATCACAAGACTGAATCGTCAGAGGGAACAACGGAGCGTGTCATCAGTCCTCATGCATCACAGACCTCATTGGCCTTCACCATCGATTTCGGTAACAGCAAGGAAGTGGACACGGCTAAGTATCAAAACCTGTTCGAGAGATACAACGCCAGGCATAGGCGGAATCTCTCCACGTCCAAGGTAAGGAAATCTCTGTTTCAATCCTTATACATAGAAGTATCTCGCTATTATTTCTTTTGAATCTTTCGCATAAGTTCTAAAAAATACAATATTGGAAGATATGTTTGTATTATATTGTAAGTAGCTTTTTATATTCAGTCAGGATGTATATTTGCCAAGAGAAATTTAATTATTAAACTTAATTATAAACGTGAATATAGACTTATCATTAATCTTGCAAATTATTTAATAATTTTAATATGATGTAAAAATAATATATTAAATTTCTTATATATATTGGAGATTATAAAGTATATATTATATTATTTTTAGGTAGAAGTAAAATCAAAGAAGCCAAGCAATTTACTGTCCCCAAACTTGGTGCAGAAGCAGAAAGTTCCTAGCACTCATTCAGAGGGTTACTTTAGTAGCGAGGATGATACAAAGCGGAAAATTGACCAATTATCGGAAAGACTTAAACAATTAGGTAAATGAATATCTTTGTTTTTCTTGCTTTTTTAAATATATCTTTCTGTTATGTCAAAAATAATATAGGTATTCAAGATTTAAAACATAAAAGAATTATAATTTATAATATAACAATTAAGAAACATATTTATATTTAGGTTATATTTCTGACAATCTATTTTTGAACTGAAAATACACTAGCACTTGCACTGTTATTTATTTCAAAAACACTATAGTTATAACTTATTAACATTTATTTAACAGGGAATCTCTCTATTATTTATAAAATATTTTCAAGTTTCAATATTTATTTGCAAGATTTTTCATTAGAATTATAAATTTTGAGTAAGATGTTTAAAAAATATTTGGTGTGAATTCTCACATGTGCATTGGTATTGGATACCTGTGATAGATGAGTCATGGTGAAGTCATGTTCTCCAAGCCTTTTAGTATTCCTTACAAGTGCCTTCTATCCATTCTGAATAAGCCTGTGCCATATTAATGACTTTGATGTCATAACTATTCCCACACTGGGTGTGAAACTTTCGTGATTTTTCACCAAATTTTTTAACACCAATATTTCATAATTTTATTATTATTTTTTGTAATAACTATGTTATTTCCAAAATATGTAGAATGCCTCGAAAGGTGCAATTGATTAGAAAAGAATTGACAAGTTAATATCTTTACGTGTGTTTTTAAGGTGTCAAAGTTCCATCGAAAGCACATTCTAGCACAAAGAAGTCCACGAGTGAAGACTTAGATACCTATCATCAGAATAAACAATGTCTAATGACAAGATCCTGCGACGATGAGTTGCGGCACAATAAATCGTTTCATCAGGGCCTCCCGCTAGAGCTTGAACACTCGATCGAAGCCAATGAGAACGTATACTGGACGTCTCCGAAATCCTCAACGATAAACGACTTGAGTCGTGTACAGATCAATAATTACGACGACGACGAAAACGAGAAGCTGTACACGAAGAATATAGAATACATTGATGTCGATCACGAGTGTAAGGAAGTAAACGATTTTGAGGACGTGTCTTTTGCAGTCACTAACAAAGTGTCAAACATGAATTACATCACTGACGACTTGAACATCAAGAATACGAGCGGAAGGGAGAACAGTTTGTCGAGCGTTAGTTATGCGATGGATTTGAAGGTAGGAGAAGCTGATCTAGATGTATTTAACGTCAGTAATGTCGATGCCGGTTCGGACGGTGCGGTGAGCGAAGCCGGTACCTACACGATTCACAAAGATTACACCGACGAAGAGAAAGCGAGGATGGACATCGACAAAGTCTTCAGTGTTGGCGTTTTGACCGAGGATGAGAGCAACGAAGCGTACGTCCACAATTTTAAGGTGAGCTACATCCGTAAGGGACGTTTGTGATTGCAGCAGTAAACAGAAATTCATGAGATGGTTTTGCCTTACAGATGAGTATCTCTCGCGATAACAATGCGTGGATATCGGAATGGGCTACACAAGTAGCGGAGCATAACTCGCTACCTCCGATAATAGGCGGCTCAACAGGACGCACACCGCCTCTCAGCCCTACCAAGATTCCATCTCCGATCCATAGCAGATCTCAGCGAATGTCGCGCAATCGTTATGTACGTATCGCACGATATCAGATCTTCTGAATCTGAACTCGATCTCAGGGGCAGTGGGGAGATTTGAACTTATGAAAATCCGGGAAAGGTTTACTCGTTACTGTAGATGTAGAAATCAATTGAATCCCTTTGTAAGCTATTTTAAACAGCGGCAAAAAAACAAAAACATCGCTGAAATCAAGTGCCTTTTCTTGTAACAGAATTCAAATTTATAACGAATAATATTTCTTTGATGGAGTTTAGTTAGATCTGTAGGAAATTTAATACTTCTTCATTAAAAAAACAAAGTATCTTAACATCTTGGTTCATTCTTAAGTTAACCCTGCAAAACTACGAATTCTAATATTTTTTAATTTTTTAAATGTATTTTTATCGTTAACATATAATATAAAGAGCTTATGCGAAAAGATCTCAATTCAATTAATTCCTATAGCTAAAGTAACGAGTAAAATTATACTGACTTTTCATAAGGTCGAATCTTTTCCCCTTAAATCACTCTGTTTGAATCTCCTAATTACACCGTGATCTTTCCTTTCTTCTCGTCAAATTTGTATCGCTTTGTCTGCAGGAACAATCCGACAGTAATCCGGACACCGATACGTATGTACGAATAAAAGAGAGGATCGGTATGGTCTCGAGTCAGCAACAGATCATAGACTCCGGCGGTGAGTCCGACGATGATACCAGTAATAGTTACAACACGCCGCCTAACAGCTCGCAACGCACGCCCGTGCATAGTACGGCAGCTAGACGCAGTAGTTTGTCCGAGTCGTTGTTTCGACGAGCCAACACCAACGAAAATAGACGAAGCGTCCGAAAATACTTAAGTTCGGCCAGATCAAAGACTGCTGACACGAATGTCGAGTTACTGAACAGCCCGTCCCAAGTTTTGTCGCCCCTCCATTTAGAGAGACGAAGCAGCTCTCTTGATAGGTGAATGGCTTACTTTGATACGTTTTGATTAGTATAACTAAGAGAAATTAGATTCGTAATTAATATGTTTTCCTTTTCCTCTATATGTATTTGTGTATATATATTTTTAAATTATATTAGTTTGATATATCATATATATTTGATACTCATATTTTTCTTCCTCTATATCAGGAAAGAATATGCTTCTGATACAACGGAATCTAATACGTCCAGAAGAAATAGCATGAAGTATAAGGAAGAAGATTTGAAGCACACAAATAGTCCCATCTTAAGCCGTCTCAGGCCACCCACGCCGAAACTGACTAATAGTCCTATTGTGAGTCGTAAGGCCGCAGCAACGAAGGTTCTTGATTCTCCTATGTTAGAACGATCTAAACACATGACGAAATCGCCCCAGCAGGCGAAAAATATAGGATATTTTACATGCGTGGAGAATAGGTACTTGTTTCTTTGCACATACATTAATTCCATAAATGCGCTTTAGACTATGAATTTTAAAATGTTTAATATTTGTATTTTATTGCGCTCCTACCCCCTGTATCTTTTGTGACCGATGTGTTGATTCTTTTACAGTCCGTACATGTTGAGAAAATCCAATAGTACTACAAATTATCACGAGGGATCCAGTTATTTTGATAAAGATGCTTCTATTAAAGCGCCTAATGTCTTACGAAACAGTCCAGAATTTCACCTGCACCTCAATATACAAAGATCGTCGAGTAACGCGAGTATCAGGAACATGAAGTCGCAGAATATGGTGTCACGTCGCAGCAGCTTCAACAGCAGCGACGTCGACAGGATATCATCGAGAGGGAAATTCCTCGTAGCCTCCGACAGTAGCAGCGAAGCTGGGGAGCAGCAAAGAAAATCGCCGTTAACGCCAATCTCATCTGGGATCAAGTTAAACAGAGCCTTCAGTATAAGAAGGGCAAGGTACGTCGCATAAAAATCACAAATAGGATATTACACAGAGAATAAAAATACTCGTCCGGCTGTTTATCTTGAAAACTGTGGATTGTGCGGGTAAAGGCTTATTGTTTCTCACAGATTGAATTGCGAATCCGATACAACGCCGAACACAACCCCGGAAGAGAGACGCAGACGGGCGCAGTCCGAAGTGAAGACTTCGGCGCCTATGAACAAGCAACAAAGTTACCACCGTAGCCGTACGAGCAGTGTCGGGGCGCACAGTAAAGAGTTGAAGAAATCTGAGCCAACGAAATACAGAACGCCGTCTATATCCAGAACCGACACCGGTAGATTTAGTATGAGAGCCAGCAAACCCACTCACGTAAGCATCAATTTTACGCGATCATTAACTTCACGATGCCTGTAAGATGTTTTTAACTGTGAGATTCTGCTTCTCAAGCATCCTCCGAGTAGTCAGAAGACGAACCAGAAGCCAAGCAAAGATCACAAGAAGTCTGGCAGAAGCAATTCCACCCTCACGTCGAAGGAGGTGGAGTTTCAGAACTGGAAGAGACGGAAAAGCTACGATCCGATGAAAGCGGCGGCGGAAGGTAGAAAGAAATTGATAGACAGCACGAAGAAGCATCACAGTACCGAGGACGGTTCGGGAAAGTGAGTGAATTGATACGGAGCATGCGGTACACGCGTGATCAAGAATTCATTCGATTGTGAATAAGAAATAAAACATTTACGTTCCCTTCCAGCCATGACAATTCCGTGCTGAGATCTGCGAGCTTCCATGGCACAGGGGGTGCTCTCTCACTGGCCAATGATTGGTCGGACAACGAGTTCCATGATTCTTACCATAACAACCAAGTACCACCTCCTAGCAGTCCGCAGTTGGTGCGTTAAGTAATGTACATTTATACACCGTGATTAATTTGTACACAATCGTACACTTTTTTTAACACAAACCTATTTCTCTGTTTATTCTGCATATAAAAATGTCAGGGTAAGATCACCGAAAAGTGAATATTTCTCGAGATATTTTACTTTTTACTCTGATATTTTTCAATACAAGATACGATCTCATAAAGTATTTAACTTTTCGATAACGCTTTCTGCACAAACTTAAGAAGCATGTTTCGGAAATTGTAAATTGAAGTAGAAACATTCTGTAATATTGTATCGTCAGGAGAGCGACAGCGATTTGGAAACTTCGTCTTACCTGCAAACCACCCAAAACGTCGTGTCTGCCATGTCCGCCCGCATGACGAGTTATCGGCCTCCTCTCGACTCCGATAACGAAAGCGACGAAGATACGAGTCACAGCCTGCATCAAAATATACCAAAGGGGCTGCGCCATCCGAGCGACACGGAGAGCAGCGACGAACGCCATCCCATGGCGCAGTCTCCTATCTCCAATACCAAATACAATAGAGAACTTAGGTGGGTTGTCGGTTTACGCGGTTCGACAGTGTCCCTCCGTGCGTGTCTTTGATCGGCGTTTTCAGTTTGCGTAGAGTAAAATTGGACCCGCAACGAACGAAACCTGTGTCTTCCACCGCAAACAAAGCCAAGAACTTCTTGCACGACGCTCGTGGCAAGCCCGAATCCATTTCCGGCATTGGTAGAACGGACTCGGGACGACCTAGTGCGCGAGTTAGCAGAACTTCGAGCATGGTAGGTCTAACATCTTTCTACTCCTTGAGTTACAAGCATAAATCACATGTATATATTAATATATATGTGAATAACTTCGCAGGGGCCTAAGAACAAACCGAAAGAATCGAAAAAGCCTCCGACGCCGAATGTACGGGAGGTCGAGATGCAAAATTGGAAACGTCGCAAGAGTTACGACCCCATGAAAGCAGCGATGGAGGGGAGAAGGAAAGCGGGCCTGGCGAAGAAGAATATCAACGAAAATTTGTCACCAAGGTGAGCCGTCCATTGTTCTTTATGGAGGAAAAAGTAACGAAGGAAGGAAGGAATGACCTCCGAGGTAACAGGAAAGCCTGCAAGACATGTGTATCTTGGATTTTCCTGTTGCTTGGATCATTTTTTTTTATATACATAATTGAGGAAATAATCATTTTGCTGTGTTGGTAGGACCGATAGCGATCGATAGTCTAAAAATAATGGCAAAACAAGCAAGAGTGGTATGGTACAAATTGGTTTGAACATTTTGTGCTATAGATTCTCTCAAGAGGTACACTTAATGAACGTTCTCCGCTTTCCAACAGCACAATATATAAAACACTTTACTGACGCAAATGCTTGTTTCTTTTTTTTTTGGTATTGCACTAACCAGAGAGTTTCCGTCAGGTTGAGAGTCTCCAGAATGACGGAACAGGTAGCTGTTTGAGTTTTGGCATTTGAGTTTGAGCATTGGTTTTTATTATGGCTATTTTGGCGATGTCTCTTTTGCGAGGAAGTTATAGCGCTGTATAACTAACTCAAAGAAAACTCGTTTAATCCTGAATTTGTTGTTCGTCTAATATTGTGATTACGTTCGGTTTGATCGGTGTGAGCATCGTCGATCACATGTGTAAATATGGATCGATCTTCTTCGATTTTTCTTCGATAAAGGGACGTGTGTAAAATAAATTTTCGATTCTTGTTGCTTCACTTGATCGTTCGACCGGTTCAGCTATGCTACATTTGTTATCTCCATTTGCTTTTAGCCACGTAGCGAGATCGCAGAGTTTTCACGGATCAGTAGGCTTGGTCGTCAGCGATTGGAGCGACGAGGAACCAGTCATATCTGCGGACGAAGCCCCGTTATATTAGAATTCAGTCTCAGAATTATCGGTAGCATATAGAAATAAGTGTACGCGTGAAAGTAAAAGATGAAGCCAAATTATTAAGAAAAATTCTTGTATATAAGAGCGCAAAGACGAGCGAATTTTACAGAATGCTTTACGAGCACTCCTATATGTACCTAAAACGACTCTAAGAGGACAAGTAACTACATATGAAACATTTTTTCTATATTATAAATTTGTGATCATATATATATATATAAAGATGCGCGTACAGGTACTGCCGACCTGTACAACCGCTAAACCTTGAGTTACAAAATTGTGCTTCCCAAAAATGATACTTAAAAATATACATGCCGAAAGTCGCAGTATTAACGTCGTAACGGCCAATTGCTTATGTTTAATTTAATGTAGAAGAATGTTCTCTTTCTCTCTTTTTCTTTTCGCAATTTGCTCTACATTTTCTGTCGTACATAATAAAATACAGAATATCGCCTAAACATAGTTACGTCGGAGGAATATCTTGCATAAACGATATTAATGTAAAGAAAGAGATTGATCATGGAAAATTGAGATATCCTAATGTCAAGCTGGACTACGAAGCGCGCGATGTGAGGTGTTTAATTTATAATGTGTACGAGAGGTGCTATAGGTATAGAGAAATATATGTGTGTTATTGGTTTAATTATAATTGGACCAATCGCGTAGCGTTTATGTACAAATGTTTGTATCTCTATAGCCGCATCTTATCTCTCATTGATGCAGCCTATTCACGCATGAGACACGCATGCCCGTCGCTTAATTAACTTATGAAATGTATTTTTTCATTGAGAACAAGAGAAAAAGTAGCGGGGAGGCGCGAGAAGGTTTATTGTATAGATTTGTGTATCTTTCTTTCTCTCGTGTTATTGTTGTAATCAGGATGTGTGTACGTTGCACATTGTTTGTTCATAAGAGTTCGAGTATTTCACAACTAACATCGGTGCACGCGCGATTTCTTCCTGTTAGTGTAATTATCAATATAGAAAAAGTAAACGGTGTGTACTACGCTCTCTTCCAAAGCGCGCAATGAATTGTAGCAAATATCTTTCCTCTACGATAATTTAATGTGATCATGAAAGGCTTTACGATGATCTTAAACATTAAGGTGTAAATATTATTGTCGATCGATTTAATTGTACATTCTTCTTCGTTTCTGATTTTACGTGAACACTAAACAGACTTTTCCATTCTGCTCTAGTAAGCTGAATTGTCACTAATACAATCGGTCGGATAAGATTAGACGACACTAATATAATATACACAAGACATGTAAGGACGTATTTTATATATAAGTACTTGTTCAGCAGATTGTATCACTTGTTCATCATACTGGTTGCTCTATTGTAAATTTGATGAGAATTTTATCTGGATTATCTTTCCTAGAGTTTTGTAAAATTTACGCAAGTTCGTTGTGCATATCGCGAGCATTACGATGAAAAGATTTATATTAATGCTCCCTTTATTGCATAATCATTAAACGATTATTCTGTTGTCTCGCAACAATTTTTCGAACAACTCGTGCGTTATGTTTCTGATTGATTATATATTATTCATTTCTTTTTATGTTATACAGCTAAAATAATTTGGTTGAAAGTATTTATTTATAATTTTTGTTCTCAATCGTGAAATTTACAATTTATTGATGCACAACGTATCTCTTTATATTCGGAATTATGCAATAAAGGTTCTAGAAGAATGTGATATTATGGCAGGATTATAGAGAGTTACTGAGTTAAATGATAACAATAACGGTTTGTTCGTTAGAAATTAGTAATAATAATTGTTTCAATAATTGAACGTCGACATTACATGGTTTTGTTTTAGAGAATAATTTTGTAATACTACACGTAGAATTTGACACAAATAGTATTGCAAAACTAATAAAAAATTTTGATGCGTTTTTGTTATTGAAATTTTGATTTGTTTTTTTTTTATGGCAAAATAATTAAGTAGAAGTGTTGCATATTAACATTTAATTGCTCGACAGAAGGAATTCATCTGATTTTTGTGTGATAATACTTTGTGTATTGGAAGTTGGTCAGTTGGCTAATAGATTGTGTGTATATTTTTGTATATTTTTGTGTGTGTATTTTAAGTATATTGCGACATTATATAAACAATTTTGTCTCACCGAGTGCTCACACACACACACACACACACACACACACACACACACACACACACACACACACACACACACACACACACACACACACACACACACACACGCAGGCGTCGTTTGGCATTCTAGTTCTTCCTTTAAAATGAAACGGGCTTCCAATGTGCAGATCACTATGTCTTCAAGATAGAAACATCAAATTGCATAGAGCGTTACACAAGTATATTGCGTTATTTTAATTTTTTAACTGGAAATATGAGGGTCGTGTTCAGGAAAAACTGTTGTATACCATTTAATTGTCGTATTTATGCAAGCCTAATTCTGCGATTTCATTTTTCTACAGAAATGTAATCTCATCGTAAAACCGGAGAAATCTCAATTATTTCTGAAGACGGTAAAAAAAGTACCCTGCTGCCAAGATCCTCACTTTTCTAGCGAGTTCGAACAACGATTACACACATTTGTAAGCTTCTTATTTTGCCAATGAATTTGCTAGGTAACCAATTAACATATCTTAGTTTTATTAATGGCGATATTATATGTCTTAAAATATTTTCTTATATCAATATGATCTGTATTGTTTGTCTGTACATTACGTACACATATATTCGTGTAGTAACACAAGATAAATGTGTATCGTATCTTGTTTCATCATAGGAAGAAGCGCGTACTTGCGGGATGTACTTCTTGCCGTGACTATTCTGCTGTTTTACAGCGGGCAAGTGATTATCGTGAAAAATAACAGATAACTTAAGATAGTCACGATAAAAAGGACATCCTGTACATATGCAATTGTAATAACAATACGATATATTTTTGTATATTCGCGCAGCCTACAGACACAGGCGTGTTAAGTTCCATTTTACAAAATTAATTAACTTTTATTCAAATATATACGATTATTTTGCAGAGTACTACATATGGTATTGAAATATAGTACCGGTATCATAAGTAAAAATGTGTCAATCAATTGTTACGTATATATCTTAATAATATACAAGTGTAAATGGCAAAGCAACGAGTGTCTTTGAATTTTTGAAACACCATCCAATGTCAGGCTGTCATTGGATCTTACAGCTTGCGAAATGTTTCCGCAAGCTCACAGTTATCGCAGATTTAATTGTCTAAATGCCAGACTGGTCCAGTCTGCAAGCGGGATTATTAAAAAACTACATGTATCTTGGGAAGAAAATCACACACACACACACACATACACGAGTCTGACGAGTTTGTAACGTCGAATCTCGGAAGCGACATCGTGAAGGGAGCAAGAAATTTCTTGATGATAATTTAACTTTTTTATTATCCAAATATATATTCTATCGTAAATATAAAAATACATTTGCTTAAAAAAAACGACGAATCTTTTGATACGCGCGCGTATTAATATATAATACTCTATAAAGATTATATATCGCGCTAGCTTATATCTTAAGTTATCACATTGTATTAAAACCAGGGAAAGCAAGTTTATCTTAGCGAGAGTGATTTTTCATCAAGGTTTGAATGTTTAAGCCAGTCTAAATGTGAAATGAGTGTGTATGAAAGGTGCATGAGGTACTGACGATCCGTTGAGATTCTTCTTCAAGAGGAGGGAGAAGAGGGCGTTGAGAATTGCAACGTATTGAGTTCCTCCAATTGCTCCAATTCCGCGTTATTCATGACTTGCGCGATCTGAAGCTTCACCGCGGCTTGCCTTTGCGGGGAGAAAGTCTTCAGCGTTTGCGCATGGCTTAAGAAGAGCAGATCCACCGCGTCCATGAATTTCTGCAGCTTGCCGGTCTGCAAATATTCGAAAGTTTCATCGGGTATAGCGGAGCTCAGACTCTGCTGCGGTTTCCGCTTTCTCAGAGATAGCACCAACGGCTTTTCGTTAGGCGGTTCCTCGTAATACTGAACATATTCTTCTAATGTTGGCTCGGACTTGATCTTGGTTTCTGCGTCGCTGTCCGAGTAATCGTCAGCGTGAATGTAATCTGTCCTGTACATAAAAAAAACGTACCTTTAAATCGTTCAAATATTGGAAGTCGAATTGAAAACAATTTATTCTCCAAGAGGAATCTTTTCTCCGGAAAGAGATTAAATATGGCTTTTGTGTGATTGTGGCTTGTGGTGAAAAAATATTCACATCTTCAGTACACGAACATACATGTTACAGAAGTCGTGGTCGCAACTCGTAATTAATTACATCATATGTTTATCTCGCTTTTCAATTTACCGCGTCGACTGACGTATCTTCGTGTTAATTGGAATTCGTCGACAGTAATGGTCGATTCCTTAATGACTTACTGCCTGGTAGTGACGTGAGGCTTCAGAAATTCCATATGACTAGCCCAGGCCCAGTGTTTGTATTTTTTACTGCATTGTCCTGCGGTGTTCGACTGCGTTCGCAAGTATTTAGCATAACTGTCTCGGAGGTGCCTCCATTTACTCTTCGCAACGGCTCCTGGAACAAAATTAATGAAGTTAATATATTATGAAATGGAAAAAAAGATTAGGCATACATAACGAGTTTCTAATAAGTAGTAGCTTTTCGCGGATACTATAATTTTGAAAATATAATAAAATTAATCGTAAAAAAAATATATAAAAATTTAAGTTTAATTACTATCACACTGTATTTATATTTAATTTTGCGCTGAATTTATATTTATCATTATTATTTAAATTTATATCTAGTCATAATTTAATATAATTTAATTTAATGTTATGTTATCTGTATATTTTACAATAGCAATGCTCATAAAGAATACCAAGAGAGAATATTGAGAATATATTAGCTTCTTTCAATAGAAGTTAGATGTAATGATTTTTGTCTTTGATTGGTGTTTTCTTCTGGACCTATCAAAGATCTCTATCAAACATCTGAATCACTAAGAGCTTATTAAAAAGAGCTTCTGATAAATGTAGCCACTTTGCACATAAAATAATTATACTACATTTAAACAACATAATATTAAATATCATTTTGTTCAATGAAAATGTTGTTTCACTAAAGTAAACCATGTTTTATGATAAAAAACAATATTATAAAAAAAATATTACTTAAGGGAAAAATATTACTTAAAGGAAATAATATTTAATTTTCAATAAAAAAATTTATTTCGTTATATATATATATATATAACATAAAATACTGTCGCGGCTACGAGTGCAGTCGCGCGTTTATAATATCGATTTTGTTTACTCATCGAAGCCAGTTGCTCACCGTTGTCTAAGCACAACTTAATCGCTATGCTCCCCCAAGTTTCCGCCTTTTTTACATTGTCCTTGTAGTCTTTGTTCTTCGTGTCATATAGTATGGGACAATTTCGTACAAGGTTGATGAGCGTCTCGCTTTCGCACATGGTGCGCGATGGCGCGGAGTTGTACTGTCCGGAGCACCGCATGAGCTAGCGGCGAACTACGTAGACCGGATGCGGTAATTGCTCGTCGCTTGTTGTCGGTCGCTTCTGCCCGCATGCGGTTGTCCGATCCAGGGCCGACTACGCGTCAAACAATACCCCCGACACGAGATATCAGCTGAAAAAAATTAACGTTGTTAGTCGATGGTTAATAACGTGCATTTTCGTTGTATCGACTGTTTCTAAGTAATTTTAAAAGCTCGGAAAATAATCGGTTCTTTTTAATTTTTCTTTTCGGTTTCTTCTTGCGCGAAGCAAACGTTTTTCCCTATTTTTCCACGAATTTTTGTTTCTCTCGGAAAAAAATGAAAAAAGGGGTTTTTAAACTTTTAAGTCTACATGTCGAGTGTAACACATACATAGTGTAACGTTTATTAAATATTTAACATCCCACTGAGTACCTATATTTCTGTACAGATGAGTAGTAGATAGATAATGGCTGTAGAAAATTTATCAGGTATCTTTTATTCGCGATTGATAATATTGTCGATAAGATCGAATGCTCGTGATCTATGCGTGCAATGGAAAAGTCCTGTTAGTTAAAACGAAGTTAAAACAAATTCCCATGTAATCGGATTTTTATTTCTGTGATATTTCTCAGATATTATTGTAAAAACTATATAAGTACAAATATATCGTAACTTGTTGAGTAACAGTTGATACTCTTTCTTATTGGGCTGATGAGAAAAGATTTGTTTAATTGCAAATTATTGTACATGTATGTACCGCAAGTAATATATTAATACCAGCAGGACATAAGTAGACTCGCAATTACTGTGTTTTAAGAATAGATATATTTAAGTAATTTCTATAATTACAATCTCTAGCATTTACGTATTAATTAAATGTGATGAAATTGGTATTGATAAGTACTGCTTTTTCTCATTCGTGTGTGATGCTTACTAATGATGTTCGCTAATTACTGCAAAAATAATGTGTAAATTATGGCGGAAACATACATAATCGTATTAAGAAAATTGCGCGCTCGTTTACGCGCCGGCATCATTTATCACGTGGACAGGTACATTACGCAACACAAACGTAAAAATTACGACGTCTAAAAAAGTATACGTAGACTCTTAAAAATTGGATAAGCTATAGACAGTGGAATACCAGGATCCCGTTCATAGGGAAACTGTTATAGAATAATAAGCAACGAACGATATCAATAAAACATTTGTTATCGAGCAACTATATAAACCGATACAAATGACGTTGCTGATTCAGTTATAATTGGGACTCAATCATAACTGGGAAAGGTGTAGTGCGCGAGATGGGAACGTTTCTACGGACCGGTAAGCGCACAGTTTCTCCAGAGACAGAACAACACAAAAACACGCCAGAACGCGTACACAGAGAAAAAAGTTTCTTCGGATTTATACTTACACGTATACTTACACTTATTTGTTTGACTTGAGTTTGTTTAATATAAACATAATCTAATATCAAATATCATTTTGTTGAATGAAAATGTTGTTGTTCAACAGAATAAATCATGTTTTAATAAAAGACAGAATTATTTAGAGGAAATAATATTTCATTTTCAATAAGGAAATTTATTTTGTTACATATTAAATATTGTTCAACTGAAACAAAAAAGTTCTTTGATATTTTACTAACACGGTGTTACTTCTTTCTATAATTTACTGCTTGTGACAACCATCGTAATATGTTTGGATGAAAATACAAAAGAAATATGTTACATATTTTTTCAGGGTGCTAGTATAATAAATATCTATAAAGTATCTGAAAGATATTTTTTAAATTCTTATTATGTTTTCTTCGAGATATTTATTAAATATATCTTAAATATAGGTAAAGAGAGATTTAATATCGCATTTTATTTATTCGCGCGTGGAGAACCATCATCGTGTAGCCTCATACTCAAATCTGAATTCGCCGAAATCATACCGGCATCAGTCCCTTATATTATTATATTGTTATATTTATATTATTGTTATGTTATATTGTTATATTATATTGTCCAGGAGTGTGACGTCCCTATCTGCTAATATCTGTTATACTTATCACAGCAATGCGTTCTTCGATGATACTACTATTGCTCGCTGCCAGCGAATTAGCTTGCAGCGAAAAACTTACCAATATCGACAAGAGCATCGAAATGAAAATAAAAAATGGCGTTGTCCAAGTGAATATAATTAATCGCATCATGATTCTCAATCTTACGAAAAATGGTGAGTCTAACGCCGTCTTTACTTTTCAGATAACACAGACTTCTAAAAGATGTCTTAAAAACGTCCAGAAGACGTCCCATTTTTTTTTAGATGTCTTTCAGACTCTTTAAAAGATCTTTTAGAAGTTTGTGCTGTCTATTGTGTTACCTTGATACAAATTGACATTTTTGCCTCAATCTCCCGTAAATTCGAACACTTCCTTATAGTTTTCAAATTTCAAAAAAACCTGCTTTTTCTCAATTTTCCCGCGGATTTCTTCAGTTTCTATCCAAAGAGTACAAAAATTCACGTATGTTCCGTTAAAATCTACTATATTTACTTTTTTCTATAATTTTCCTATATTTTCTTTTTTTCTAAAGAAAATGAGCCAAAAACTGCGGAAAAATTGAGAAAAAAATCAGGTTTTTCTTCGAAATGTTAAAACCATACTTTTATGCCGTGGATCAAGCGTAATGACACGATTCTTGCAGACGGCGAGAATATGATTAACGTGCTTCATACCAAGACTCCGACGGGCACGCTGCAGGATTCCTTCACGTTTGATGAGAGTTGCGGCGCTAATAAGATCTGCGTGAGAAGCGGCCAAATGCTGCACACCATCATCCAGGCCGGCGCGAACAGCGAGGTCGTCAATGTCACTCGCAACGTCGCCGATCCCTCCGCCGAGATCGTCGACTGTTACCAGTTCACCGAGGGTACGCAGTGGTTCGGTGGTCCGCAGCTGCGCTATCAGCACTGGCCTATCCAGCACATGTACTACGAGGAGGAACCGTACCTGCCGACGCATCCTGTGAACATGGCGTTATCTGAGCGTTATTGGCTCTCAGGAAAAGGGGTTTACCTCTACGTCAGCGAGAAGAATCCACTGTTCATCGATCAGAATAATTACAAGGACAAGTACCTATGCCTGATGGCGAAGAACAAGGCTCCGTATCGACACCGGGATAGCGTCCAGCTCGATTACGAGCTGGGTGTCTTCGCGAACCCGAAGACCGCTCATCAGTACGCGGTGACGGCTCGTCTGGGCAAACCCAACGGCCATCCCAACGAGCGGATGGTCCGGCATCCCATATGGTCCACTTGGGCGAGGTACAAGGCCAATATCACCGAGAAGGTGGTGGAGACCTTCGCGGACGAGATCATCGCCAATAGCTTCAACAACAGCCAGCTCGAGATCGACGACAACTGGGAGACCTGTTACGGCTCCGCCCTGTTCGATCCCGTCAAGTTCCCCAACGTCACCGCTCTCGTGCGCCGGCTGAAGAGCAAGGGCTTCCGCGTCACCCTGTGGATACATCCGTTCATCAACAAGGGCTGCGAACCCGCGTACTCCACGGCGCTGAACAGCTCGTACTTCGTGAAGAGCCTCGACGGACGCGTTCAGATGCAGTGGTGGCAAGGTAAGGTCATCAGCTCCGATGAATAAATTGCTGAATTTTATACCTTTCCGCGGTCCTCGTCTCTGACAGATGCGTCTCTCTCTCTCTCTCCCTCTCTGCAGGTCAGAACGCTGGCGCGATAGACTTCACGAATCCGAAAGCGGTGAGCTAGTGGACGGCGCGGCTGAAGCTTCTGCAGAACAGTGGCATCGACGCTTCAAGTTCGATGCGGGCGAGGTGTCGTGGTTGCCGCAGGTGGCGAGTTTGAACGGCTCGCTCGACATGCAACCGGGAATATACACGTATGACTACGTCACGGCGCTCTCCGCCAACTTCGATGACAACATCGAGGTGCGAGTAGGATGGCGAAGCCAGGAATTGCCGGTATTCGTCCGCATGATCGACAAAGACACGAAGTGGACGTGGAACAACGGCCTGCCCACTCTGATCACAACGCTGCTGCAAATGAATCTGAACGGGTACGTTCACGTCCTGCCGGACATGATCGGCGGCAACGGCTACATGGACGGCTCGCTCAACGGCACCGAGTATCCGTCTAAGGAGCTGTTCATCAGGTGGCTGCAGGCGAACGTCTTCATGCCGTCGTTGCAATACTCCTTCGTGCCGTGGGATTACGACAACGAAGTGAGTAGCCTTGAAAAAATGAGTACTTTACTGGACGAGTCATTAACGAATATCGCCGCATAGCTCGTGTGTATCTCTGAATGGAAACATAATTACCTTTTAATATCATATCAGGCTTCAAATGCTATACTTTTGCAAATAACATGTATATACTGTACTTTCGTGTAATTTAAAATTCACATATATGTATAACTGCAAGACAGAGATAAGACGAAGAGAGAATCAGTGAATGACCACCTAGCCTCACGAACGTGTTGATTTGTAACTACATCACAGATATAAGCTGACGATATTGTATCCTCGGATCTGGAAAAATATACCTTAGTTATCTTTCATCGTCGTCAAAAAAAAAAACAATGTAGTTCACCGATGCACGGTCATTCACTGATACACCTACCCTTCCGGAGAAATAACGTGTACTTCTTGTCTCACCAGACCATCACCATCTGCAGAAAGTACACCGAATTGCACGCTAAATATACACCACAAATCTTAGAACATATGGGGCAAGCCATCACCAACGGCACACCCGTGAACCCACCTATCTGGTGGATTGATCCGACCGATGAGGAAACTCACAAAATCAACGATGGTAAGTTCAAGTGAGACGTGCAATCTTTAACAGGATGTTCCACGTTTAACGAGTCACGTAGACAAGCAGCGGCTTAATAAATCCGAAAAGACACGGTGCACGTAGTGTCTCCCAATTGGCTAACGTTGTTACACAATTGAATCGCAGAGTATCTTCTTGGGGATTCCATCCTGGTTGCTCCGGTGATCGAAGAGGGTGCCGTCATACGCGACGTCTATCTACCTAAGGGGATATGGTTGGACCCGAGACGAGAAGTGATCAGTTTCGGGCCGAAATGGCTGAGAGGCTATCCCGCTCCTTTAGACGTACTTCCATACTTTATAAGAGCTAAGGAAAACAGCGCCCAGTGATCGAAGTTGCACTTGCAAAATATTTATTTGTACAAATGTGTATATAAATCGACCCGCTCTGGCGTAACTACGTCGTAGTGTTTTTATCTCCGAATTGCACGAATGCATCTTTTCCGCACGGATGTGTTGCCGGGGAAGTTTCGTTTTCGTCTGTCGTCTGCTCTCGGCAGTCGCGATAAACTCGTTACCTGCTTACCAGCAAAGATCGTATCTCCGTGTCGAGCTTTCTAATCACTGTGTCGTCCGACGAATAACTTCCGGTCCTCAACAGTGAGTCGCGTTCTTCCCTCAGCGCCTGCAGTCGCTCATTGCGCTCGTCCGATTTACCAGATATGATTTTGTTACCGTTGTAAGAATCTTCGGAAAAGGCGTCGTTGACTGACGCAAAGATTTGACCGTAGGCTTCTTTCGAAGCGAAAGGTTGCCTCGGCTTGATCCCGTCGATCTCCTTCTGCAGTTCGTTCAATAGGATTTGATCGTTGGTCAAGGCTCTTGTGTCTATGGATAAAATTTCCGCCAAGCTATACACGGGAGAAATGAAATTTTAATATATTATTAATTTAATATTTAATATTTAATATTAATATTAACGTATAATATTAATTTTATATTAATTTAATATTATTAATGATATAATTAATTAAATTTATTAACTTAAATGTAATCGTTTTCATTTAATTAAATAAGCAAGAGTGTCCTTGTTCGATTTTTTACCGATCCTGTTTAAAAGAATGACATTGTTTGGTCAAATTCAAGAATTCATGTTAGAGGTCGAACTTTAAGATTTAACATTTGGTTCAACTACAATGGAATACTGTGTTGTACAAGTTGGGACAATGTCATAATACGTACTCCACGTTCTTCAGTTCCTCCTTGCTGTTCTTTATTTGATCTTGCATGGTTTTCTGATGATCCACTTTCATTCTGTGTATCTCGCGAACAGCTTTGCCCCACTGCTCCTTGAAAAATGACTTCCCCTTTTGAGCGTTGTTCAATTTCTCTTCGAGTACTTTTAACTCTTGCAGAAGTGACGCCGTCTGATCTTGAGTCAAGGATCCCTTCTGATACATTTGTAACTCGTTCGTCAGTTTGCTTATCGATAACTTCAAGCTCTCATTCTCGTACATCAATATTTCCACCTGCGCCTCTAGAGCGGATTTCTTTTCCTCGAGCTTGCTCACCTGCGACATTAAATTCAGCATTGCGTTGCTATTGCGTATCTCGATATATATATATAATTTGCTGTTTATACTCCACATTTCGAGACATATGACTTCAATGAAAAGGATACGGAAAGAATGCATTCGAGATGCATTCACGTACCTTTGACATGAGATCACTTTGCATCGAGTGCGAAGAATCTCGAAGTTCCTGCAACTTGACCTCGTATCTCCACTGTATGTTCTCGTTCGCTTTGATCAGTCGAGTCTCATTTTCCAGGCTCTTTAATCGGCGTGTTCGTAAATCTTCAGTGGCGTTATTCAGACTGTTCGCTAGTATCTTACACTGCTCGACGCTGCATGCAAGCTTCGACTCTAGGCTTTCCTTTTGCCTTCGCCACTCCTCGCTCAGCATGTTCAAGTGTCGTTCTTCCTTCTTTTTGAGCTATAATTCATATAGTATACAAATGATGCTTCTCTCTCCTATCAAACTGGAAACGTTCTTATTTCACTCTACCTCAGCTTTAAACATCTCTTTTTGACGTTCTTTCCATGTTTCGAGCTCGTCTACTATTTTATACGCCAAGCTATCATCTAATATCGGCGGACCTAAGTTTTTATCTTAAATAAAAGATAAATATAATACATTAGGATCATATTACTCTCTTCTTCTCTACCGTTAAAGATTTATAATAGTGTATATATATATGATATACCAGCAGTTTCTTTGTTCAATAAAAAATGTGGCCCACGATTTTCCAGCTTGAGCATAACGTCTACATCACCAATTTTATTTGTATCCGTATCGTACAGAGGTAATTTATATTGACATTCGGGCTGGAAAAGATTATTGTATTAAAATTTATACGTTCTTCTACAAGATTTTTACTGTCACTATAAACTCGATGTTACCTTATCCTGATGAAATAATGGTTTTAAATCCAACACTAACAGTGACACTGGTTTAGCGGCTTCATTTGTATCATACATACTGATCTTTGGTGGGAAAGACTGCAGCAACTGTTTAATTTCGTTCGGCGTAGATATGAAGTGAAATTGACACCCGATATTTTGCAATTTCGACTTTTCACCTGTTACTGCTGATATTGTTGCATGCGCCACCGATGTGTTCTCAGCTTTGGGATGGTGAAATCTATGATGAAGATTATATTTTTGTAAAGGACGTCCTTTACACGACAGAATTAATATGAAACAGATAAATTGAATCGTACAGACCGGAACTCAATCCGTCGTCCAGATAGTTTCGGGGATACAGAAGTTATTGCTACGAGCGAAATATATAGACAATAGCAATGGTAAGATCCTGCACATTTTACATTCATACAATTGCAGACCGCAGTATCGCTGGAACATAAACACATCATTTTATCCATTTGACTTTTTAGATGTTGGCAATCAAGGAAGTGCTGGTTTGTATATTTGCGTTCCGTCGCACATTTTGTTTCCCCAGGAATGCTGATTGGATTACATTTTCTGAAGTCGCCACTAGGATTTCTGTGAGACTCAACCTCTGGACATCTCTGAAATTTAGTAATGTATTATTACTTCTTGTCATTATTGTTATATGTATATGGTTGTTATTCTGACTAACATTACTCATATTTTCCTCGTTACAGTACTGAATATTAGGTATTGTGCGATTGTTAAAACTCATATTTGTATCAGGATTGTGCAGGACATCTGTTTTAGTTTCAACATATTGTAGTTTAAGTTGTATATCGAGGTAGGATTTTTGGAGGTGGCTTTCGATGGATTTCTGTGCTAAGTCTCTTTTAGTTAGGAAACAACGTTCATGTAGGGTGATACTTGAGGTCCCAGTACACTTGAAGAATTCTTGAATGTTATCTGCTGGTACTAGTGATTGCAGATTGACTAGTGATTCGGCTATTGTATTATTTTCATGTTTCAATAATACCGACAAATGTGGATTCAACTGTAAATAATGCTTTAACATATGCAAGGAGCTTCGTATTCTCACTATCACTTTTTCATGTGGCAGGTGATTTTTGTCATTTACTTTAAATGGTTTAAGTTCTACGTCATTTTCTAAGACTCTGTACAAAATACACACAGTACTGTCCTTGTTCAGGTTTTCAGGTAATAATAGGTGCAAATTTTCTATACATATGACTGTGATACTTAGCAAGAACAATTCGTAACAGGTGTTTACAGGTCCCAATTGAATTAATTGCTCATCAGGATGCAAATAAGGTGTTATTTTATCACTTTGTTTAGCAATATCTTCTGTTAATGAATTTCTTACCTGTAAGACAATATAATTAGAAGATATTCATAGACAATTACAGACAGATACTTATGGTATTGTTTGATATAGTTACATAAATGTTATATTGTATTACACAAATTTCTGGATATATCATTTTATGAAACATAAATATATGTGATACCTCTAATGCTGTATCTAAATTTGTACTTTTGCGATCCTCAATCCTCAATGTAAGAAGTAATTCAGGCTTGTTTGTTTTGAGATCACTCCTTAATCCTATCAATTTATGCCAACTTGCTTTTGGATTCACATCCCCATATTTGTACGCTAGGTGTGCAGAACGTAAACTTAATAGAACATGCCCAATTTTCTCTTTATTCTCATTTTCTTTAAAAGCATAGCATTCTAATTTCAACGATGCTTGTCCTGACCGCATTCTATATGTTGGATGTGAAATAAGATATATACATTTTATTCTTTTTTGATATTCTAGAGTTAATGACAAAATAGATAAGAAACAATACTTACTTTCTCATTGTAATTTTGTTAGTTTCCCAAATCAGATCAGTATCATATTGTGGGTTTGGGCTTGACTCAATTTTGTCAGTTTTCAAAGAGTGTCCATTTAAAGTGCCAACTAATATTGTTGGTTGTAAAACTTGTTCAAAATCTTTTCCTACAACATATTCATATATATCAGTTGAGAGAAATAACTATAATTTGTAAACATCTTTTCTTCATAGATTTCAATTTTATATATTATTTCATATAGTTATATTATCTCTCATATTTTCACAATGTATTGACACAAAATTTATAAACTTATTATCATTATTTTTAATGCACAAGTTGACATATATCTATAACAGGTTATATATAATCTCAATATAATTAAAAAATGATAAGTTTATTGTGGATATAATAAAAGTTAATTTTTCGAAAGTTATAAATTTTGAAGAGATCAACGTATAAATTGATTTAACGGTCTTAACAGCAAGTTTTGCCGTTGCATTACAGAGTGAGCAATTTCAATGAGTGCATGTAAAACAGTACTTCACCTTCTTTTATACTTAGAATAATTTGCACGTCCGATTCTCCTGCTTCTACCATCTCGTTGTATGTGTTTCGTAAAATATCACATATAAAATAATAAATCTCACAAATATTGCTAAAAACATTTACGCACTCTTCTTGCAATTCAAAACTGCTGCCATGGAAACGAATTCTTGTAAACACAGCTTACGTCGCGTTCGCAAGTAATCCTACAACATTTTTATTTCATGAAAAATTAGTTAAGACAAAATATTTAAACTATATATATATATAAGTGTTTCAGAATCAAGAATCTCTCTCGTTGTGTATCTACATGACGTATCTCAAAAATTCTGTGAAAAATGATATTTTGAGGTAATGAACACTTTCGCGCATTGTGAATTAACGCCTCTACTTTCTTTTGGAACTTTAAAATGAAATCGGTAATTGAACAGTCATCTCTCATTTAATTCGATATATCTAAGCAATAAACAATAGTATTCTTATGATATATGATATTTGTCAAAAAACTTTAAAATGTTTTTCGAGTCATTTCGCTATTCGTTACTTTTGCTGCAGTTAAAATTTGCCCTTTGAATTTCGCTTGTCTTGTTAACTATGTTCAGTTTTGCAAATCAAAGCCATCGGTTTGTTCTGGAAGAGTTGCTGCAGGAAAGTCGTTTGATTGGCTAGTTATTATCTTAAGATAATCTTAAAACCGGGTTTATAATGTCGTTTGAGTCGTTTCACTTCCAATTCTAGCGACTGGATTGGTCGCATTACATTGTAAAAATGAATTAAATTGTATATTCGTAAATATATCTGAAAACAAGAGAGTTCGCGCTGTAAAGTGCTTCGGGGACTGTCTCGTTAGTTTTGTCGGAGTTAAAGCTCGTTGAATTTCTCCTATATTTGGGATCGAGAAAAATAATCTTTCAATTATTGCGCATAATGAACGTCGAGTAATTTATATAGTTAGTAAATTTGTATCCTTGACGTATAAAAATCATCATGCCAAATTAATTGCCGCAACGTTTCCTTCCCTCCTGCCGTGTATATTCTTGTTGTGCGCATCGATTCATCGAAGCTCGATTCATCGCCGTCGAACGCCCATCCCTACTTCGGGGCACGATCGCGTGCACCTGCTTCCTGGGCAGAGATCAGAGAAATGGCAAACGTACAGTAGGACGTAAGTTCGGGACAATTGGATGGTGGTGTTGACTCGTTGGCAAAAGGAATAAGAGACCAGCCGAAGCCGATTAGTCTGACGTGAAGGGGCAGGTGTCAAACCAGACGGAACACCGAATACTCTTCGAGCACCGCAGGCACGGACGCTCGTAGGAGGTTATAAGGCATCGTTATTGGCACCACTATGAGGACTTTCTCCGATGAGGCGAGGGTGAGCGTCGCTTGTGTACACGATTGTCAACGTATGCAGCTGATTCGTTCGATCTCCGCTGAGACAGCGACTTGCTCGCACGTCCGTACCTCTGATACGTCAATCGTCCCGCGTGCTCGACTGGCGTGCCGTTCAGCAGATTGTTGTCGAGAAACGAAGAATGCCTGGAGGTTTTAACAATTGTGTGTACATAGCGAAGCGCGCTGTAATGAGTACACACGTCTCTCGATGGTTACGCGCGGCTGTTGCTCCTGATCGCCGCTGACTTACGACTCAACATCGCCTGTGAGACAACGTTTCGATATTCTCGATCCGGTATTTCAGGACGTACATATATGGATTTCATCGCTCTAAATATCGTCGTATACAGGGTACAAAGTCGGCAAATTAGCGGTGGGATATAGAATGGTTGGATTTAGCGCGAAGTATATATGTAGAGGAAATTTATAGTTTATGTATATACCATATGCATACACACATATATATATATATATATGTATTCTGTGAGATGCAACATATATGTAGCGGTAAGTTATTCTTGTTACATAAATTTACTCGCAGCTTTATATATCTGTGATGATGATTTGCATTTCAGGAAACCGAGGATTCTCATACAGTTCACGGTAACATGACATAATTGTTAGCTTATCGCCGATACAGGTGTGATACTGCTCAAGATAATCATGTTGTGCAATGACAAATGACACACGTGTCGAGTATATGTATATGTGTTGGTGACTACATTAGTGAGTTAAGTAGAAGAGAACAATGTCTGTTCCTTCTTGCTCCACAAGTGAAGAGTGGGATAGCGCAGACATCGGGGAGGAGGTGACATACACAAAATGGGAACGTTTCAATAATTGGGTGCATTGTATATGCATTGTTACTTTTGATCTTGAATTAGGCCAAGCTATAGAGGTACACACAAGCTTATTCACTATTACCTTATATAATATGATTATGCTCGTAGAAAGATGATTTCCACTTGTCCAGTATTTGATCGAGAAAATATGCTCGGATGTGTTGCTGCTCTCTACTAATTCGATTTTCTCCACGGATTTTGTCCCACAGGCGATTTACCCGACTCATATTAAGCTATCGGAACAAGAGAGATCCAATGTCTGTTACTTAGCCTTCCCCGACTCCAATTCCGGTTGCATGGGAGACACCCAGTATCATGTGCGAATAAGGCAGAGCAGCCAAATGGTGCAAGAGACCAATGCTCTCAAGGATTACGACAGAAGGTCGCCCTCTTTTCTACAAACCGACAGAGATTATTACTGGGGATATGTGTATTTTAGACAAGTGAAAGATAAGTCTTTGCCAAGGGGATACTTTCAGAAGGTTCATATCATCAAAGCGAACCTGTCTTTTCGTTCGATTTATATAACGAGTGACTTGATGACGGCGTTCTTTCAGAGTGTCGTCATAATTACAAAACTGCCATTTGTCAATCTGTTCGGCGAATTGTGCGCCCTAATCGCGCCCGAGTTCTTCGAGACTGGAACTGCGCTCATGGAAGCCGTGGTGCGCGAGATCGATCAGTGGCCTCCGCCGATCCCAGGCCAGATAGTTCATTTACCTCTCATCGGTGTATTATTTCAGGTGAATGATACGTTTACAAGCCGTGAGGTCGTTGTATTGAATCAGTCGAAACGTCCGGCTCGATTTTTGAGTTTAGCCTGACTTCGTTGCGTTCCACGCAAACCCGATTGTAGCATCAGTGAAGTAGCGAGCGAAGAAGAGAGCGGAAAATCGAATCGAATTCTTCGACTGAAGCAACCATCTGTCTCGCACGTTCCTTCACACTCAGATGCAAAACCACGTTTCAGACGTATATCCCGAACCAAAATTACAAAGCCACTATCCCATCGATCGCTGCCATGGAACATGCACCGAACGTGCACACGACGCGAAGACTGATGTTGACGTCAGCTTACGAGGGAGATATGTTCCGTAGTTTAGCCAGTGTCGTTAGTTACGTACATTTATTATGGGAGCTGGTGCTCCTCAGCGAGCCGATCGTCGTGATGGCCGGCTCGCCCACTACATGTTCCGAGATGGTTCAAGCACTCATAGCGTAAGCGGCGATCTATCCTCAGGGGTTGGGTAATAATCATTTGTAATAACTAGTTTTGCTCAATTAAAAGTAAAGTTAAAAATTAATAACTTAACGGTTAATCTGAATCTTAAATGATGCAATAAACTCAAACTTTATAATTCAATTCACTTAAAATGCAATAACTTCAACTTATTAACTTCTTCTTGTACAGAAAATTAGAAAATTAAATAGGACAATAAGAAAAATAAAACATAATGCCAACAGAATTTGTCACTCTTTAGTGCTCATGTTCTTTTCCTGTATAGAATTTGGAGCACAAAACAGCCGGTATTTTCTAATAAGCTATCTTTTCTTCAGTTGACATAAATTTAATCGACAATTAAGAAGTTAATTATGCACATATATATATACATGATTTTATATAATTCACTTCTAACTTTAATAAGTTAATTTAACAGGCCATTAACATTTAACTTAATTTAGTTAAAAATTAACTTACCCAACCCTGTCTATCCGCAAGCACTTTTCCGTTCTCGCATGTATCTACGATGTGATAACCGAGAAGGAGGACATTTCAGCATGATCGCGCCGTTGAAATACTGCTCCGACCATCGGCCGTACTTCACCATACATGACTCGGAGTTTAAAGAATACACCACGGACTCCCCGGCGCCGCCCGCCGTGATCCTGGGCGTGACCAATCCGTTCTTCGCCAAGACGCTGCAGCATTGGCCGCATATCATTCGCATAAGCAACGGCAACAACAGTGGTAAGTTCTATGACATTCGCCGGGCAAGTGGTGTGTTCAGGATATGGCGTTCCGTCGGCAGATCAGCGATACAAAATCAAGAAGTCCGAGAATCTCAAGGTGCTGGACTCGAAGCCCGGCGTCTACACCCAGTACAAGCCGTTCCTGCAGAAGGACAAGACCATCCTGAAGAAGCTGTTCAGGGGCGTGCAGACGAAGCGGCCGGGCGAGGTGCAGACCGCGCTCTTGAAACGCCACCTGATCGAGCTAACGGAGAGCTTCATGATTCCGCTCGAGAGATACATCGCGACGCTTATGCCGTTGCAGAAGAACATATCGCCTTTCAAGGTGAGTCGATCGCTGCCTGCAACCAGGGATGTTGTGGTACTACTGATATACTATTGCTATTTTTGTTTTGATACTAGTATCGCTAACGCTATCGATACTCTTGATTAGATACCCGTTTCAAGATTAGTACCGATACTTTCATGGTATCACAACATCCTTAGCTGTAACTGATGGTGTGCAAATCGCTCATCGTATAATATACGATTCGTACTTCCTGCGCAGGCAACTCCGACACCGCAAATGTTCAATCCGGACGACTTCCTGGCTAGATTGAGCAGCTCCGGTCCTCAATTGACTACGGGTATCAAGGGCGACTGGGTGGGATTGTACAAACGGTTCTTCCGATCACCCAACTTTTCCGGCTGGTTCCACGCCAGGTATACGGAATTGAGCCAGCAGTTGCAACTCAAACAGCTGGAGAAGCTGTCGCATGCGGTAACTAAATTTCCCGGTCTTTACGCTCTCTAAATATATCATCACATTACGCGAATATCTATTCACATAATAACGTACGATTAATAGGATCTGAAAACGTGGGTGCAAGGGAAGCAGGAAGTGGAGGTGGTCGATATGATTCTGAGAATCCGACAGAAGCTGGAGAGGAGTTGCATCGACGACGTGCCGATCGACAACTCCGTAAGGGAGAGGCTGAAGGAGAGGATAGACGACATCACGCACGTATTGCCGGACGATCTGAAGGTCATCCTGAGACACGAATCTTGACAGTACGATTACACTATCAATATCAAAACTCGCTAACGTTGCAATTAATTCTACGTAAACTGGGCTCACACGCGGAAAATTATTTGGAGGCGACTCTCAGAGAGTGCGTGTGTAACTTGTTTAACACTTTGCGGGCCGCTGTCACGCTGACGTGACTTTTGCTCGCCAACGACTTTCGGCCGCTATCACGCTGGCGTGATGGTTTGACGATCAGGAAACATTGTTTTCAACTGTTTTCCTCTCCCAATTCACCAGACTGTCTATTATTAAAATCTTTTTTCGCGGACGCTTGTTTTGTCAGTTTGAGATTGTCTTTCGCTACCTTCAGATATAGGAAACTTACGTTAGATATCCCTCAAAATGCCAATACCAATATAATTGGAATAAAAATAGTGTAACAGTTATTTTAGTGCCTTCTTTAATAATAATTATATACCAATTACTTATGTATCGAAAAATTGCGTAAATATCACCGTTGGCGAGCAGTAGAACCTGCGTGAATCTCGCCGGCGGCAGCGTAACGGCGCTTCGATAAATGCGCGGCCCGCAAAGTGTTAAGATAATAATTTTTTTCATGCTCCTTCCCTCGCTATTTATTACGAAGAAACGAACGCCGAGGAGACGTCAGTTGTATATGCGAGCGATATAGTTCGAGAAATTAGAGTAAGCGATAAAAGAAAAAAAAAACTACGTATCTCGATTAGAGAAAACAAGGAGAAGATAATACTCGGAAACAAACACGCTGCATACGTAATAGAAGTTAAATCGCGCAAACATTATCTTGGATGCTTGAACGTCCCGATTCGCTTTTTGTATTCGGCATGTAGAGTTTTGTAAAAGCGATATATCTTGCGCATATTTCGTCGTACTGCGTTAGACTGATTCGTATCGACTGTGTACTATACCGTGTTTGATTGCCACTACGATGTTGTACATGCCAAATCCATCAACAGCTTCCTCTATTACTCGGCCAAGCATTCCAGTTGATCATTTTATATACACAGTAATTTATTATTATATTATATTATTATATTATTATCGTTATTATTATTATTATTATCATATACTGACGAATACTCTTTAATTTGAGGCGGTGAGCAATACCAATAATGATAACCTCACGAGCGTAAATTTCAACTCAATGGAATACGAGAGATCGGAGTGTAAACTGATGTACATACATTTTTTTCGAGATCTGTAAATATTGGTACAAATGATGTGTAATAAAAATTTATTTTAATAATAACCACCGGGGCTGTTGCGATCTCACCCATATCTCTGCACGTACATACGAGATGAGTGAAAAATGAAGCGTTTCTGTGGTAAACGGACTTATATTTCTTCGAAGCGACATGGCTGTGTATTTCTTCTGCTCTCTACGATCGCATATATTTACTTATTGGAAAGGAGATAATGTGCGTACGCACGGGTGAAGAGGCGATTAAAACGCGCAAGAGGGAATACATCTTCTCGCTTCGCATTTTATTTCTTACGATGTTTTATTGTTACATTCTCCCAATTACATTAATAATTTCCTCATAGTTTTGTCTTAATGCTTGCGCCATTATATTCTCATTAATATCTATAATATATTATCATACTTTCAATGGAGTCAACAACATATACATATATATTTATATATATTTGTCCATATGTATACGTGTATACATATATATGTATATATATATATAGATATCGGGTGTATGTTCATTTTTTTCTTTATGAGTGTGAATGCACAGTACTGTAGGATAGCTTTATTACACAGTTAATTCACAGAGTTCACTTTGTTATTCCGCCGAGGTACAAACCTCGACCTTTTTTCCTCCGGCCATCGCGTTTATCTTCGTCGCTTTCGCGGTAACGGGAAACGACGTGTTCTCGCGCGCGAAAATTCTAACGCGGTATGCCTTTTACTTCTCCTTTCTAATCTCATCTCGCGGCTAGAGAGAAGGCGCGTCTCTTTCGTCTTCTCGACGCGCGCCCGAAGGGTCTTCTTTCGGGGGATGGGGAGGAATCTCTCGTGATTTATTACTTTGTACACAGTACCGAAGGATATATATCCTTTCCTTTCTTTTTCTGTTATCTCGACTCATCTGTCTTTCGGGGAAAATGACGGAGGTTTTGGGCGTGAGCCGCGCCCACAATAATAATAATAATTATTACAATAATGAGGAGCGGATAAATGCGATTATCGCCTGTTAGCATTATTTCGACAGACTTAGGCCTGGGTGTGAATTGCGTTCCCTTAATTAAAATCTTACAAGACTTCGCCTATCGACTAACGCGAATGGAAACTTTACAACGAGCTTTTCGAAGGTAGGGGAAAGCGGGGAGGGAGGAGGGTATGAACGCGGATGAAGCAGCGAGGATCTTCTCGGGGAATGTGATAGAAGTATCGATAACATTTTGTGGGTCGCAATCTCGTGGGGAAAGAGGGAGTACGGTCTTGTCGCATAGGTATTCCTTTCCGATTCTTTTTTTGTGGGGGGCGTGGTATTTTTTTATATCCCTTAAATAGCTATTCGAAAAAGAGAGGGGTAGAAAAGTCGCGATGTAAATTGACCGAAAAATCCGAGCTTGGCGTAACGGCACGCGCAAAACACGAAAGCACGTCTCGACGGGAGAAGACGCAGCGACTTTTGCAGCTTTTTTTGCATCCTGTTACTCAGACCGGGATTTAAGGTGGGTGACAGCCCGGATTGATCTCCGTCGTTTTCGCGAGAATTCACGAAATCGAGGTTCATCCTCGTCCCACCGCGATCGCTGATCTCGCCTCGACGATCTCTCCCGCGAAGGTCGCGGAGATTCTGACCTTTAGCGCGCGTCCAATTAGTGTAACTGTCTGACTTCGCTTTCCTGATAAGCTGAGACCGATCAGAAAGTCACACACACGTATGTCTCTTCGCTAGATGTGCGATAAAAATATAATAAAGATTACAGAGATTGTGGCGGAATGTTTCACCGGAAGTCGTCACGGAGAGAGGCAGTTGTAACGATAACGAATATTGATACAAATGTACACGTGACTCGTCTTCATTCTCCGTATTCCGAATGCTTCGAAACCCACCGTAAATCCAGTCCCGTTTATATTCCGTTCCGGACAACCACATGGACAACTATCCCCATGCTCGTCCATCGCGGTCGTTCGCACATCTTTCCGCGCTTCTCGTTCTATCTCATTCGCACCATCGGCATTATGATGATGAATCGTAAGCTCATCGATGTACCCTCTCCCCCATATTCGGCGAATCGTCGCCGCATTCGCAGACTCTCCCCGCGGCTTACGTTACGACTTGAGATCAGTTTGTCTGCACGGAAAAACTCGTACGCTCCTCGGTAATTTCAGCGGCGCTATCATCGAAATTATCTCTAACGGAATTATTCATGTCGATATGGGCGATTCCAGAATTACAGATGAACATTTGACGGACTGACAAGAAACGGAGCCTGATAAGAGATTTATCAATCTTAATAGACTAATCATTCCCGCACGATATTCAGCTTCCCACTTCGCGAGCTATTTTCTCGGAATTATTCGGCACGACAATATTATTCGACGTGTCTTCGCAATTCGGTATCGCAGAATCTACTGGTTTCATGTATCGACATATGAATACATAGACAGAGCATTAGTTCAATGAAGAGAGCCGGATTCGAGGAAAGGGACGATTATGTATACTTGTATTGTGTATACTAAATTAGGTTTTTCTCTGACAAATAGTAAAGAAAATACAACTTAAAATTTTTTTGTTACAAACATCACTCTCCCTTTTGTAGCTAAACTCTAAGTTGAAATTTCGTTAAACTCCGTTTGAAATGAATCGAATGGATCTGTTATCCATTTGGTCGTTCGAAGCGTAATTTTACGAAAAGCCTTGTTTTTCCAATCGCTTTTATTTCGTAAACTTCTGACGCCTCGACGTTTTCGCTTCAAGCTTTACAAGGAATGATGCTGCATAATAGCGGGTATTACTTAAGAAATACTTAAGTATATCCATATGCCGATAGTTCGTGACTCTACGTCAATTTGTTCGCACATCAAAATCTTCCACGCGACCTGCTCGATAAAAGCGGCGCTCGATGCAGCGAGCACGTGTTCGAGGTCATCAACGCGCATGTACAAGCGCCGACCACATGGTCCGCGGCCAGTCGACGAGTGGAAGTGGGGACAAGGCCGCGAGCCGTTTGCGTGAGGAATGCGGATATGTAGGAATGCAGAGCGCACAGGTATGCGCGGACGTGACGGTACATGGGTCTTCACGACGTTGCAGCGCAATCAACGAACCGATCCCCACTCGCGCGAACAGAGCGATGCACCGAGCGCAGCAACGTCTATCTTGTCGCTGACACCGAGCGTGGCGAAAGTTCGCGGAACCGTGAGAATTTCCGCACATAAATTGCAACTATTGGAAATTTCCTGTGCTGAGATTGGATATTATTCTTCTGGATCTAAAAGCATAATTTAATCTCAGCTCAGAAAACTTCCAAGAGTTGCAAAATAAATGTTCTGCTGAACGTGGCTATTGTAGTCGTAAACGATAGACGTAAACTTAAACTGAAAAACCAATCAGGATATTACTTTAGATTCATGTACTCCAGAAGAAAATAGAACTCTCTCTCTCTCTCTCTCTCTCTCTCTCTTGCCCTCCCCTCTCTCTCTTTCCCGCCCCCTCCCCTCTCTCTCTCTCTCTCGCCTCCCTTCTCTCTCTCTCTCTCTCTCTCTCTCCCTCTCTCTCCCCCCTTTTCTCTCTCCCTCTCTCTAATGATAAATTTGATAGAAATAGTCATGTAACTACAACTCATGCCCGTTTCTATCATCATGATTTCAATCTAATCGACAATTAACTTAACAGAATTGACCAATCGCATTGATTCAGTTCAGCTAATTTGCCAATACGATTGGTCAATTCCGTTGAATTAATCGTCGATTAGATTTAATGTCAGGAGTGGACATCAGACAGAGTAACTAGGATTTCAATCAGCCGAATCGTAGTTTCTAGAATCTTGCTTCTGCTTACGATCCAATTTACCGTCAGTTCCCATCTTATTCCAGAGTGCAATAAATTTAAAACAATGTCTTGGTTGGTCTTTTTCAGCTTAAGTTTACACTTACGTCAATTTGTATACAAAAGCCCCAACTCAGGAACGGATCGACGTAGAATAGGATTCATTTCACGCTACAAATCTTTCGAAACGCTGTATACATCATATTCTTTCTTTAAGTGCTCCAAAGTGCGTCTGCAGCTTCACGTGAATTCTAACCGTGGAGATGCGAAATAACAACCGTTCTTCTTAGCTCGCGTGTCTTTCATTGTCGATTCGGAGAACGATCGTGGCCAATATCTAACGTAATGAGATAATAGCCGTGCTTGGTGTACTCAAATGAAGGAGTAATTAAAACGTAGCCCGCTAAGAGAAAAGCTGAAAATCCCGTGAACGGTTAATTGGTGGATCTATCGATACCCTTTTGTTCGTCTACATGAGCTCTATTGACCACAGTGGTTTTCATCTATAATCCTGCAACACCCCTCTGTATTCAATGTATTCAACGAGTTGATGGTTTCAAAAATGCGGCAGCTTCGCATAGCGCGATATTTTACTGTCGCAAGAATTTCTCTCTCCATCCGCGAGTCGGCTGATCTCTCTTCCTATTTCTTCCCGTGGCAGAGGACGATTGGACGGTATTTGTCGTACAGAGAATATAATCGCGTCAACAAAATGTGGCGCTGCGCGATTCCGTGGGATGAGTGTGCATGTGTGTGTGTGTGTGTGTGTGTGTGTAATTATCAATTCGACGATCTCATCCCCGTCAAATTGATTGTGGCTATTATAAATTATATGTGATATATATATATATATATTGTATCTCAGAAGGGGCTTCCTTTTTTTTATCTCAACGCAATGATTTATTACGATATTTCGTCCGTACAGACAACGCGAACATGTCACATTCTCACAGCGTAATTCATTTGACAATATAAACAAGACATCAACGGAACACTCCCACGATTGACAGAGTCAACAAACTTAAAAACGACACATCTTCCTCTCAACATCATCATTGTCATCATCATCATCATCATAATCATCGTCATCGGCGACGATGCCTGCCACGTCTTCTATCTACAAATTTCGAAAACGTACATGCTAAAACGTATATATATCGTCAACGCCTAACGCCTTCTCTCGCTTTCGTCGAATCTAGCGCGAAGTCGCGACGAACGCGTCAAATCGAAAGTACTACCAGCCGTCCGGCCGAATCGCTTTTCTCGCTTCATCATCTTTGGCATACCCCTCGGTAAATTAGAACAGATCGCTTCGTGATCGTAATTGCGGATAATCAAACAATAACGAGAAGCTGCGGTGATAAGCTACCGGCTAGAGAAATGGGGGCGGAAGGAAAGAGAAAGAAACAAGATTGGTGGCGCATTTGCGTTTGCCGACGTTAAAAGCCAGAGCAATCTGATGACTCGCGAGTCATCTTGATTGCGTCGAAAATTGCGCGACAGGTTCAATAGTTGATTATCGGAAAAGTGCGGCCGCTGTGAAGACGGTAAACATCGTCGATCGATCCGCGCACACGAGAACGGTGTCCTTCGGCACACGGTAATTTGTAATTTGTCCCGAAGAACCGTCGATTCCTCGATCACGACGAAGAGCGAGCGAACTAGCGCGCGCGCGCGCGCGCGCGTTCCTCGTCGACATCGCTGAACTGATTAATTTAATATCACACAATTTTGAAGATACTTATGTCATCACCATCAACGTTATAATGTTCTTACGTTCTCGGACGAGCCGTCCAATAATTGACGCGTGTGTGTGTGTTAATTTAATTTATATATCCACCCGCGTGGTATACGTGCATCGTTCGCTCTCCTGGAACTGAAACAAAGAGTGACGTTCCGCAATTCGGAGACGGAAACGCGTCATTACGAGGCTCGCACGAGTGTAGAACAGTTTCTGTTCTACGACGGTTTTCCGTTTCCAAGTCGCGGGAAGCCGGTCCTCCTTTCTTTCATCTTCGTCGCGCTCGAGGATCGCGCGGAACGTGGGAAACGTCACCGTCTCGACGAAATTTGGGGAAAATCAGAAAAACCACGGAGAGACCGACAATTCTTTCTTGCTCAACTTGAGCTCTCGCGCAATCGCACGTTCCCCGACGACTTCGTTTCACGAGATTCCCTGCGATTTCCGCGTACGTCGGGAGTTATTCTCGCTGCGAATTCGTATATCCTCGCGCGTCCGGCTTCCTTCGTCTGTCTCTCGGTAACCGTCCATTCTCTTACGAGGACGAGCCGATCCTCAAAGCGTCGTCTTTACACGCGTCTGTCCTCCTCAGGAGATGAGCGATAGATCCAGACGGAAGGAAGAATCCTCTTTCTAGGGATTTCTCTTCGCAACTACCGCCAACCTGCCTCACGGCCAAAAGGCGCGTTCTCTCTCGCGAATGTCGCTTGGTGCGAAGGAAATGCGAGAGCTCTCGGGCCCCAAACCATTCGAGAGAATCCCCCCGCGCCATCTTCGACGACTTGTCGATTTGCAGGACGTTCGCGCGAGGAGTTTGCACTCCTCGCGCGACAAACGGAAAGAAGATGGAGCCGAGCAAATCAAAGGAGAGAGTTCATCGCTCTCACGATAAGCGCGACTACGCGTTCCCCTCTCGAGATCCATCGCGACTTTCCAAGGGCGTCGCTTCGCGATCATTATAACGTACTTATTATCTCTTTATCGTATAAAAGGAAACGTGTCAAAGCTATATACGAAATGTAGAGCTTTCCCTGGAGCGCCGGAGGAACGTAGCCTCGAAATCCACCGTCGGGAATCTCACGATCTCCCCCCTGCACGAAGAAATGACAAATCGGACGACGGTGCGATTCTCATCGAGCATCGCTTCTCCCAACTTCTTCCTCTCTGTCCGCCTCCCTCTCTTTCTTCCTCCGCAGCACCACGTCGACGAGAGGGCGCAGGGGGAGAAAGAAAGAGAGAGACGGACAGAGCAAGAGAGCAACAACACGTGTACAAAACAGCAGGCTCGCAGGCACTCATAAGTCCTTGCTGCGCGCTCGCGCAAACGAGAGCTCGCATCGGCGCGAGTCGGTTCGCGCGAGCGCGCGCGGGATCTCAACTGAAGCGACGAGATCCCTTATCCGGTCACGAAGAGGATCTCCTCGGCTCACTTGAGGTCCTCGTCGTCCTCGTTGGCGAGCAGCTCGTCGATCTGCTTCTCCCAATCGTTATCGCTGGCCGTGACGTCCCTCGTGGACGCGATGCTTCTCTCCTGAGCGCTGCTACCACCGCCGCTGCCGGTTACAACCTCGTAATCCTTTAGCTCGGCCTCCAACTCACGTTCCCAATCTTCTTCTGCGGAGAGGCACAAGCAGCGTTGTAGCTATTTTGCAGAGAGGGCCACACACTGGTCTTGTATGTCTGTCTGTCGTATGTTTCGGTTGCTGTTTGTGTTTCCGCGATGAGAGAGTACGAGCGAAGTTTCTCGTACGGGAACAAAGAGTATGGGCCATGTTGTGGGCATGTGTGTGTGTGTGTGTGTGTGTGTGTGTGTGTGTGTGTACGCGCGCGTAAAGAGTATATGTATGGTGTGTTAAATCGTTTCCGAGTGTAAGAGTGTACAGGGTTGAGAGAGGCAAAACTCAAATGCAGGAATGGAGAAATCAGAGAGGTAAGAGAGAGAGAATGCGCGAAACGAAGAGGGACGTTCCCTTTGCTTTGGAGGCGCTCGCTTTGAATTCGCTTTGTTAATCCGCGTTGGACAAGGATATGTTAGTCGGCCTGAGAGAGAACGAAAGGGTTACGCGATTATTAATCGAGGGGAACGACGTGATCGTGATCGCTTTTTTTCCGTACCCTTCCGCGCATGATTCGCGAACCACGGCGACGACGAGTACGACACGTTACTTATCACACACGATCGCCGATTACACAGCTCCCTGAAAGTTACACAGCGTCACGGCGACGGGAGGAGTAGCTAGCGGCTAATTGCGCCTCGCTTAACGTACTTTGTTACAAAAGTGACTGTCTTGCGATTACAAAAGCAATTGTCCGGGACCTAATTGCGACTTAAACGCTTGGAAATGCAATTATCGGACCGACGCAGCTGTGAGAGTAATACTCGTCACGTTAAATCAGCGGTGTCCAAAGTGTCGTTGTGGGTAATATACGAAACGGTTATATGTATATATATGTATATACGATAAAATAATCGATATATTTTTTACACACAGTACATTTGTACACACGAACATACTCCCACACGCGCGCGCACACATACACACACACAGATACACACACATATATATATAACTGGCGTCGAATGAAAGAGCAAGCAATTATTTTGAAAGCCTTTCTGTAACAAGGGCAAGTTAGATAGGATTTTTTTGCGATGTATTGCTCTCTCAATAAAATCCCATGTGAGATTTTTATTGTGGCCGCATCGCGTGAAATCACACACACACACACACACACACACACACACACACATACACACACTGTTTTGGAACCGCCGCACTAAATCGTTCATCCTTCAAGCGCGAAATCATCTAACGCTATCGTACGTGCACGTATTTCACGTGCGAGAAGATAAGTTTACAGTAGCGGGCCTCCGTCGAGCGAGAGCTCCCTAGAAATCGCTAAATCCTTAAAATAATACTTTTACGGTGCGTTCTCCTGGTCGCACCTCCGTCTTTGTCCCCGTCCCTGACGCTCCAAAACTATTAGAACGTGCTCGCGGGTTATCCTCGAACGTCTTCGCGACGACGCGTCTCCTGCTCGACGAGCGAGCGAGCTCGTCGGCGGCGCCTCCTTTCGCGGATTTCACACGAGGGGCGAAATACTGGAGAAAAAAAAAAAGAGAAATACTGCCGCTCGCAAACGTACGCACGCTACCACGTCCGTCGGATGTGCGTCGTTCTTTACGCGCGCCGAGCCGAGAGCGATATTCGATGTTTCCCGACGTGGAAAAACCGAAGTCCATGGTACCGGCTGGCGAAGTGTCCCCGTGCATTGGGAGAACCGAAGGCCATAATTCAGTTGTCCCGTTTTATCGGAATGCCGCGCGGTACTGCGCGAGCGGATAATCCGATACTTTCATGCGCGCTTGCGAGAATACATATATATATGTGTATATACGTACACATCCTCAATGAAACTATCGTATAAAAACGAAGGAGAGACAAAGAGAGAAACAATATATGCAAACGTAGTGTGCAAGGCGCGGAGAGAAAATTAGTCTGACGAAATTGTTCATCCTCTCACGATAACAATCTATAACACCGCATCCGCGAGTCTTTTATTTTTATCTTCTCCACCCTCGATTCCCTTTTCCCGCGATACAAATATAAAGATGAAAGAGACGCGGAACAGAGGGTCGTGGTGAGTTAAACGATGTGTAAAAAGAACGTGCAATCGAGATGATGATCTGACAGTTTATCTTGCCGCGCGAATAAGATACGTGAGTAAACATTCCAACTGGAAAATCAAATCGAGCTATTAACGTATTAAATGCCGTCACGCAGGAACGTACAAAATAAAAACTGTACGCAATGCGAGATTCACACAGAGAAAAATCATTTATGCTGTTGTAGTAGAAACGTCGTTGCGATAAGATTTAATTGGCATAGCTAAAGCAGCGAATTATTCGTAATTAGAAACGATTTTGTTGCCAGGATAAAAAAAATATTTTGCTGAGTAAATTTGCCCTTAGGATAAGTTAATTTCCTGTTAGGACAAAATAGCGTTTTCCTTATATTTATTCATATGTTCTTACAGCAAAATATAATTTGCAGATTCAGCAAAGTAATCCAGCGAATTAGCACTCTTAACAAATTATGACGCCCGTATAATAATTTTGCTGCGACGGTATAAAATTTGCTGTGCCAGGAAATTATTTTTCTCTCCGTGCACGCGTAAATGTTCCCGTGAAATCGCAACGATCGCCGTTCAATGTTCTGTCAACGTTTTCTCCCCTGATAGCGCGCGCTCTCTCTCTCTCTCTTGAAACGAATAGAAACACCGATAACTTTCGGGACCTCGTGCGACTTCGCGTTCCGCGATCGCGTTTTCCCGGCTGGAGATACACGCACGTATGTAGGTACGCCTGCTGTCCGTCCGTCCGTCCACCGCCCGCCCTCTGCGGAAACGTGAAGTGGCATCATTCCGTAGGTGTCCCGTAATTGGTGGCGCGTAAATCCTCGATCAACGCGCACAAATCGACCCGTTTACCGTTTCCCCGATCGACGTCCACGTAGAAAACTCGCGTAATTAATTTATTCCCTCGCCCCCTCGCTGTTCAGGTGGACGGGCGTGTAAACGGAATCGCATCTCAGCTAGCTGCTTCGCATTCGGAAAGAAATCGCTACACCCATACGAGAGAGGGGAGAGAGAGAAAGAGAGAATGAGAAAATGAGTGAGAGAGAGAGAGAGAGAGAGAGAAAGTGTGTCGGGCGCGAGCAGAGTTACAACTCGTTCCCGTATTAAATACACGTATTGTCATTCAACGAATTTACAGCGGCGCGCGGAAATCCGATCGCCTCCTTCTCCTCCTCCGGATAACTCGCGCTCGTGAGACCGTCTCGTACGAATTATCAGGATCCTCTGTCTGCTCCGGCGGCTGTATACCGCGAATTAGACCGGAAACGAGACCCGAGGAAAATGAATTTACAAGGGACCTCGGCTGTATCCACCGAGAGAGTGAGAGAGGATTTGTCTTCCTTGGGTCTCCGTGTTTCTACCTCTCGTCGAGAGAGCGGGAGAAAACAGATTTCCTTCGGGTACCCCGTAGAAGTCTAATTATTTGTACAAAAAGGACGTCCACGAGAGGCGGAGCTTCGGTGGGAAAGATCGCGGATTCGTGTAGCGCGCGCGCGCGCGCTACTGTACTTTATATTTTATTTAGTAATAGTGTATTATATTTATACATATATTTCTTTCTTCTCTTTTCCTCTTAGGTCTCAATTTAATTAATCGAATCTTACGAAGGTACATCTATGATTAAGTGCGGTTCGCGCAACATGATCTCGTGTTTTCATCGGTAACTGCGTTATTTCCCGACCTATTCGGTTTCTGTCCTTTGTTAAAAAGGGCGCGTTCGATTGTTGCTGCGTTAATGATACTTTTACAAAGAGACACGGAAGGAAANAGAGAGAGAGAGAGAGAGAGAGAGAGAGAGAGAGAGAGAGAGAGTCGAGAAGAGAGAGGCTACATTAATTGGAATTAATACAGAGACAACAGCGAAACGGTCAGAAATACAAACGACACGTGTGGCCTAGTATCTCTTTTTGCTCTGTTCCGCGTGGTTATCTCATTCGTCCGTTCGTTTCTTTCTTTCTTTCTCGTTCCTCATCCTCTCGCACACCCTCCCTGTTATTGCTACCGTTATCTACTATATTATTTGGTATGTCGTGCGTACACGCACACACACGGGCGCGTAACGGTTCAACGACGCGACGACCTTTCGGACTTCTTCCGTGAATTTCCGTTTTCTTCCTGTCGCGTCTCATCTTCGAATTTCGCGATTCGGCGAGCTCGACGCAAGATTTCGAGCACGGTCGTCCGACGCGAATATCCGAAACGAAGAGACATTATTTCATGCTCGAAATATTCGGAATGTGAACATTTCCCGGAGTATCCCGATACATTTCTCTCCGATTTCGTCCAACCCTCTTCTGCCGGTCTTTCCGATCCTCATTTTGTTTTTGTTTTTTTACCCATCACCCACGCTAGTTCTTAATTCGTAATTCCTCGTTACCGCCGTTTTCACGCTGCATTGTCGCGAGTTCGTGTCGATCTACGAACTTATCAACGAGGATCGAGCGATAGCGATTAACGACAGCCAACCAGCGGCGACATCGATGATAGTTATAATAACAACGTTGTATCTCTCTCTCTCTCTCTCTGTGCTCACCTACCCAGTCGGCTTGTTAATCCACCCAGATGACCATTCACCACACCCTCTTCATCCGTGCATCGACACGCGCCGCGACACGGCTGCGTACTGATTACAGGCTTGTCTCGTCGCAGGCCGATCTGTTAACCGTATCCTCGATGCGACCGCGACACGTGGACGTCCGAATTATAAAGGAATCGTTACGGAAATATCGTATTTTTTCCGAAGAGCCGATAATCAACATCGTCGCTGGATATGACGATCGCTCGTTAGATGGAGAAACAAAGGTACGCCCTTTATCGGAATGTAAAAATGCTCTCGAGACTCGACCGAGATAAATTCCCGCGGTCCTCTAATGTAAGACGAGATTGGAAATAAAAACAACACTCCCGGGACTTCTCCACGTTACCCAAGTTACCTGATTATATGAAAAAAAGAGACTTGAAAGTTAGCTTACGCCAAGATTTGTCTCTGTTAAACTAATTAAATTCGTTTTCCCGACCATCTCGGCTCTCCGTCGTCTAATTACGAAGATCGCGGTGTTATTAAAGCAACCCTGAGCTACGGACTGTCTGTACTTAGCGTATTAGAGTCAGAGTGCGAGGAGGCCACGTTTCGACGTGGACATTTCGACGCCGACACATCTTTTTTCTCGGACGTTCGTCGGTTCGAGCCTGACGCGGCGTTCAATCGAGCCGATCCTTGCGACTGGTACGGGTTCGCGTGGGCCGATCGGAAACGGAACGAACAGCCGCGAAGGAGGGCAATACCGTTCGTCTCGTGGGAACGTTCGTGCCGTTGGCGGCTCCGCGATCAAACACGACGGAAACGAAAGATTAAAACACGAAAAAAATAAAAAATGGGAAAAGGCAGGTGTGGGAGAAAGAGAAAGATAGGCGAGAGGGAATGAGGAGGAGGAAGAGAACGACGAGGATAACAGTAATCGTCAGTTTTCGAGAGCGGGAAGCATGTATATTTTTGAGGGGGTGTGCTTTGGATAATGGGGGCACTCTCCTCTTCTTTTAGGCTGTTGACAAAATAGAATGAAAAGCGGTCGTTTAGTCAGAGCGCCATGTAAAGAGAGAAAGAGAGAGAGAGAGAAACAGAGAAAGAGAGAGTGAGAGCAGCGATAAACGCAACGTTCAACATCAAAAACCAACTGCATGACAGGACTATATACGGGGAACTAGGGGGTGAGGTGGGTGGAAGGGAGCGACCACGCGCAACGGGTCGTCTTGCAACATTCAGAACTCGGAAACAAGCGATCTCTAAGGTAAGCGCAGACAGGAAGGTTCTTCAGAGGGCACGGGAGTTCATTAAACACACAGAAGCTACGTAATACACTATATAGCGTGGTCAAGGTGTAACACCGAGAGACTAAGGTCAGGCTCTCACGATGGCATTAATTTCATACTCACGAGGAGAGTACTCATGGACCGTGTCGTGGCACAGATCGAGCTCTCGCATTGATCTTGGTGACCCGTTTCCGTTTTGTCGGCGGGGATCAACGAATGGTACGCCCGACAAGAAACAGTTTTCGCAAAACGCCATTTCTCAGCGATAACGAATCCCGTGATTCTTCGGCGAAGTGAGACTAACGGGGCGCGATCCAAAGTTTGGTCGCGTGTTACTTTCAGACTAACGTGTTCCGTTGCTTCGTATAATGACTGTTTTGTTCTTTAATTAGCGTGTATCCGCTAATTAAAGGGCTGCGTGTGCCCGAGAGGCTCGAAAAACGCTTGACGGTTTGAACTTTTTCTGCTAATCAACATTATTGGCTTTACGAAAATGTCCTTCTGACGGATGATTCTTCATATTTTTAAATCCCCTTAAGTTCGTCCCGTTCAGCCAATCGTCGCGAAGGTTGTCGACAATTTGTCGGAGATTCACGGCAAACGAGAACGCAATTTTTCAAGAACGCTCGCAAACGTTCATTTCCCAAAAACGTTCGTCAACAAATCCACCTGTGCTTCGTACCATCCGTTAATCGCCGGCGGGCCAAAAACGGCGCTCTCTTATTAACGTAAGCGTCATTAAAATCTCGTTGGTGGTCGTAACTAACGGGAGATCGGGGATCAGAGGACGTGAGAAGCGAGTATGTGTTTGCCAAAATTGCGTTGCTCCAGCCAGACGGTGCCCGGGCTTTCCCATTTACAAGGGAAATCTCGCGAGTGCCGTAAACTGTTTCGCACCTACGGCGCGTAGTGCTCTCCCCGGAGTTACATTCGCGCGATCTCCGCGAGATACATGTTCTCGCCAAAACACACCGAAACCCGCTTCTCTTCACCCACAGACGAGAGAAGCACTCGGCGAGAATATCGCGGTGAGAATCTGCGAGTGAGACACGCGGGATCATCTCGTGCAACGACGCGTGCGGAAGGTCGGGGGGAATGAGGAAGGGAATCGATAGGAAAAGTTAACGACGACCAACGATTACATCACTGACCTTTCGGTGGCTGCATCCCCAGCTTTTTCATCCCCTCTCGGACCTCCTCGAGGTCTGTGTCCGAGACTCTCATGGTATCGGACACGAACTCGTGACCTGGCGAATCAGCGCTGTTACTGCTCGTCGTCGTGGCGCCGGTGGTGGCCTGGCCAGTGGTCATTTGAACTGTTCGCAAGACAACACTGACGGCTAAACTAGACGGGTAGGGGTGTCGTGTACGTCTATGTGTGTATGTGTGATTGAGAGAGAGAGAGAGAGGGAGAGAGTGTGTGGAGCAGAAGGTGGTGACAGATTGGTGGGTGGGTAGAGGTGGTGCGTATGGTGGTACTCGTGTGTGTATTAGCGTGTATCTAATTTTAGCGTTGGATCTACTGCAACCTGATCTCGCAAACAATCGGTAATCGTGAACGGAGGCGCGCCTAGACGCTCGCGTCCGTGAGAGGTCGATCGCGCGCCAATTCCAACAGCGCGCGACATAATGCAGACAACGACGACCTTTGACCGATCTCAACGGAAATTCCCTGATTCCATCGCATATTCAATTTCCCGATAACGAAGGCAGGACCGACTATTAGTGTAATTTCGAGTTCAATATGTAATTAAATGAGGAGGCAGATATATCTTGACATTATCGCGGGGCTTCGACGGGAGCCATCGTGCGTCACTACTTGAATCTGAGTTCCCAAGGATACGACTGTTAAAAAAAATACGCCAAGACGTCTGTCGACGATACGTCGCGGTAAGTGTCGGGAGGAGTGTCGCGCGTGAGTCATGGAAGAATACGGAATATTCGGTATTCTTCAACCGGGCGTTATCGAATTTCCTATCATTTTCCTCTCGATAGATTCAATTTCTCGCGATACACTGGAACTGGAGCGACATCGGATCTCCCCGTGTTGTAAAAGAGACGAGGACGGCAGGAGGCCGCCGGTTCAACGTTCGGAGACAGTTCTCTCTCTCTCTCTTTCTCTCTCTTGCCGTTGGCTCTCCTTTTCTAGATTTCTATAGCATTCCTTACACGCAGAGAGAGAGAGAGAGAGCCTTCAGAGAAGATCCCCCGCGTTCACAGAACAATCTCCGGGGTTGGATATGTTCGGCAGCGTTACCCGTTTACCATGATTTCATCGTGATCAATCTCTCGACTCGCGTCGGTCACCGTGTTCCCACTTTATCCGTTAATTCATCAGCGATAATCGCTATTCCGATTGTTGTTTGCGTTTACGCATGCGAATGACTCCTGCGCTCTCTCTCCCTGATATCGTAATCCCGACTGCGTGAACGTGACTCCGCGTCACCGTGCGAAACGTATCGGGCTACGTGAGCCTCGGCGATCTCATGTCTTCCGATCGGTTCAACTGAGTTCCGCTTTGGCGTCTCCGAAATGCTCGACTCGAAATTCGATTTCTCTCCCCGCCGTCTTTTTTGGTTTTTGAGAGCGTTTTTTTCGTATTTTTTTCGTATTGCAAATACATTAATTCATCCGATTGTTTTTAACGACCGAAGGAACGCACGAGCGCGATATTATTAACGTGAAATTACATCATATCAATTAGCGTGAAATATTTGCGAAAATTGAACGAAACGTAATTAATTTTGATCGCGTCACGATATCGTCCGTTCAAGGGTGTGGTAACTCCAGTGTGTCCAAGTGACGTCATTGGCGGCTGTGTGCGCGTAAGTCGATCGTGATATTACAACAACGACGGGGACTCAACTTTATAATGAGGTATATATATGTGTATGTGTGTGTATACCGAGAGAGCGTTAAATGAACGCGAGCGCGCCTTCATCCACTTGAACTTTAAATTAAAGCCTCGGGCTTCTTCGGCCAATAGGTCCGCCCCCAGCATCTGGCATGACATTTGCACAGAAAGAGCGTACGCTACGGACACGCTACCTCAAAACTCTCATGCAAAAAGTCCACCGTAGGACGCTAATCGGAATTGCAGATCAGGCGTAAACGCAGCGCGACGCTCGCCGATAATATCCACCCTGCGCGCGTCCTGCAATTTGCATCCGCTACGTTGGCGGGGGTTTATCTGGACGAGACGTCGCGTCGCGTTCCGTCAAAGGTGGAGAAGCCCCGGGTGCGCACAAACGATTGGAATTTTCCGATCTTCGCTCTGCAGAAACAGAGAGGGAGAAATTTCCCAGTAGGAGCCTGGCCGACGCAACGTCACATTTGACGTCGAAGCAAACGTTTACCATATGTTGCTACATCGGGCATCAAAAGTGAAACTGAAGCGAAGAGAAAAAACCAATTATTGTCTGAAATTAGAAATCCTCGATTTTGATTCCGATCGACACAAACGTCGGAGCTTTTATTTATACTCTTAATTGAAAGCGAAAGTAGCGTAAATAAATATTATTACCATTTAGAGAATTAGAAATCTTTGATATTTTCTCACGATATTAATTTTCTGTGTGTCATAGTGATGATAATTAATCCTCCGTTAGTCGCAAATATATCAAATAATACATTCAGGCTGCAACGACGTATCGCCATTGTTATACGTATTATACGTTATTTCATAATCGTACTCGTCCTTGTCAATGTTTTTTTTCTTTGTTTATTTTATTCTTCTTTCTTTAATGCCTGGTCCATCATCCAAGCTAATGAAAAAATATTGTTTCAAGAAGGAGAGGAAAATAACGGGAAAATTAATGTATCTGTGAGATACATTGCGACCATTCATGGGTGAAAAATATTGCGTCTAACGGAGAGTTAAGTTAAAGAGTTAATTCATTCTATGAAAAAATAGATTTTCTCTTTCTTTTTCTTCTTTTTCAAAATGTTGAAAAAAAAAACTCAAAAACTAACCTAACTCTGCCGACATTTATATTATACGGGGGGCTAAAATAAACAATGGTTAGCGAACGGTGCGCAATTTCGAGAGGTTTTCTCCCCCCTCTTTACACATATCGTTCGATTAAATGTACAATAACAAATCGACCAGACTCCGATTCACACACACGCACGCGCATACATACACACACACATAAATACACACTCGGGGCGTCTCCCCAGCGGTCTATCTAGAAAGCTTGCGTGCGCCGGAATCAGTACTAACGGAACAGGAAGCGCGTCGAACGACGGGCACCCTCCTCGAGCAAAAAACTGGTGAACCTAATTCACGTGGCGAATGCCGCGAGTGCCGCACTACGGAAAGCTGTCTCTATATAAAAGAAGAAAGGAAGAACGGCAACGCCGGAGTTACCTTGAGTATGGTCGATGCTGTCCGTGCTGGCGAGGGTTTGATTGGGGTTGCTTTCCGCCTGGCTGGCCATCGAGTTCAGCTCATAGCCTTGGCGCAGCAGGGACACCCGGTAGAAGTAGTTGCGCCAGAAGTTCTCCTCGGATATACTGTCGGGAAAGTATTCGGTGAATTTCTTCATAATTGGCGAAATCGACGAGAGAAATGAAGAGCAATCGAGTTCGGCGTCTCGGTCACGCCGAATCAGAGCGCTAATTAACGTCGCCCTTTCACGATTGTATTGAATTAACCGTCGGATATTTCTAGGATTTCTGTGCGATACGCAATCGTGCATCCTTGTGCGCAAGGACCACGCGAGTAACCGCGTTCGTCGTCTTTTTGACACTTGCGGGAACCTCGAAAGAGAGACGCGGTTGTTTTGTTTTAAATCATTTAACGCGCAGCGATCATGAGAAATCCTTCAAATACGCGCATCATAACTGCATGTTAGACTCTTCGTTCTACCGGCGAGCGTGCGGTTCGTGCTATTAACTTCCGACATCGATTTTTCGATCGATCTTCTCCTGCTCTCCCGATCGTGTGTGAGAATTTCGCGGAGCAATGAAACGCGCTTCCTCTTTTGGCCGGAAGACGACGTAACTTGATTTCATCCTTTCTCGTGCAATTCGTTGCAGAGACACGAAATAACAAAATTGGAAACAGTCCAGTCGGCTGAGAATGCTAAGTTCCGCCGAGTCAATTAATCAAATTATATCTTCACGATCATGAAACCTCATTTGTAAAGTGTCGATAATTTAACCCTTTGCACTCGAGGGCTCCGGAGCGGAGCCATTTAAAATTTGTCTTCAAACTCTTCAAACTCAAATGCAAATAGCAAGAGCGGAATATCCTATACACAATAGTGTTTACGATTTGTCTTTGTCCTTATGTTATGAATTAAAAGTTATTTGCATTGTCTCCATAGTGGAGCCCTTGAGTTTGAAGACAAATTTTAAATGGGTCCGCTCCGGAGCCCTCGAGTGCAAAGGGTTAATAAGCGAGCGTTATTAATCTTTCCTGCTACACGTCATATCGCGTGCTTATAACACAATTTTATGTGAACACGGTTTCTCGTTTTCGCGCGTTTCAATTATTCATCTTAACGTACAATATAACGCGACGCGCGCGAAATTATTGCGACGCGCGATAACTGATTTTAATTGTGTCGGGCGTAATTATTTTCTCAAATCAATTGATAAAATTATACTTCGCACAGCGTGAACGTTTTCATTCAGGGGGTTGCGATAACGGCAATGGTCGCATACAGAAACTGACATATTTCCGACGTACACTCGTAACACACGCGTCGGTGAATGGAAGTGGAACGAAAACGCGACGATGCGATACCGTTACGTTATTAGAGAATATGTTTTGATTTACTTACACCTTCGGCACCAGCTCGAACCTCATGGCTTCGAGATTCGGATCCAGGGCGAGGGTGGCCTGTGCCATCGGCTGAACGGCCTCGAAGTCCCAAGCGAATTCTACGCCTGGCGGTGGTGCTCTCACAAAATTACGCCGGTCCTGGAATTCACGAGAACCCGAAGGATCCCTGTTTAGTGCGGGTCGACACATGCCAAATTCGCGACGCTAATCTACCGTGACGGTGCGTGAATAAACAGAGCAAAGTGACCTCGATAGGACGAATAAACAGCGGGAGAGTCTCCTAGAACGAAATTTCGCCCTTGAGTTGGTGTCGCTACGAGCAGCTCTGAGAGATATTATCCTCGAGATAAATTCCTTTCCGCCGTGAGAAGAAGCCGGAAATTATATATTTACTTTATAATAGAGATCGCGCGAAGGAATTTCATATTTTTCATACATTGATCGGGTATCACATTTTCCTAGAAAATAATCGAGGAACCGATAATAAAAACAAAATATCTACCCGGATCGTAATTTTTTTCGCTTGAAACATCTATGTAACTTCGATCGCGCAACTTGAGATAAATTCCTTTCTCTCTCCGCTATAAGGATGTCGGAAACTATATATTTACTTTATAATAGCGCGCGCGCAGGAATTTCATATTTCATATTTTAGTGTATCGATCGAGTATTGCTTTTATCTACGAGATAACTGAACAATAAACATAAAACATTAAAAACAAAATATCTGCTCGAATCGTAATTTCTCCCCTGAAAACATCTATGTCACTCCGATCGCGCAACTAGCGGCGTTTGAGCGTTCACTGGGAAAATTGCGGGGTCGTTACGCAGGAGAGAGACAGAAAATCGCTGATCAAACGGGAGCACGATTTTCCACGTGCGCGTGATACTCTCGCTAATGACATTGGACCGGCGAAGTTTTCGCTACGTGCGAAGCTGGTAAACGAACCGACGCAGAATACGAAAACGCGGAAAAAGCTCGTAAAGCAACGTTACGTCGCTGCAGCGTAACAGTTAATAAACGTAAATTGCGTTACACTCCACACTGCCTTTGTGACACGCAGCCGGTAAACTCATCTTACGATGGAGAGCCTTTGTGCGTCAAAATTTAATAGCGTAGCTTCTGCCCCGCAATCCGCGTATCGCGTGCAGGGAGATACTAAAATCTAATAGAACATCTGTCTCTTTTATTCATTCCATGTTCAATGGTACCATCACTGCTCGATACTGTATTCGTTATATCGCTTCCACTCATCGCGCAAAAATCCGTTTGAAGTCATAGAGATTTGATTATTTTCCAATGAAAGTATAAACGTGAAAACTCGTAGGCTCTTTTTTTGGTTTTTCACGAAAGCGCGCGTTCAACTTTCAGTCGTTGCGAGAGATCCGCGCCTTCAATGGCAATAACACACAGAAAAAAAAAAGAAGTAGCCCTGACAGCTAAAAACTAACTTCTGCAGGTTAAATTTAGCTGTCTATACAACACAACTGAAATCTAGTTAATTTAGCTAATTCTTTTTGTATCTAGTCTTTAGTTCCCGCAAACTAGGCCCGGTAATTAATTTCAGTTTTATTATACAGACAACTAATTCCTTCCTTTTTTGTAAAAATAAATCAGTTTTTTTTCCACGCAATTGACGAGTAAAGACGAGCGTTTTACTCACGGTTGAGAGGGACAGGCACTCCTCGCGCAGCGCGTCCTCGTTCGGCGCGCCGACCCACGGTGCAACAGCCTCGCCCTTTTCGGTCTGCTTACTGGCTATGAAAGCCTCCTGTTCCTTGTTGAGTTCGGCAATCAGCCTCTGCAATTGAATTAATCCCGTCTTAGTAGCGGTAAGTAGGTAAATAGATAGGTAGATAGATATTTCATAAAGGTGGATCAGCCTCGGACTGAAGCGCCAGAGAATAGATCGCGTCTGGGAATCATCGAGTGATCGTTATTGACTACGCACGGCTTATAACGTATATAATGTATCCAGGATGGGTCGGCTCACAGCGTAAACAGCGCAGGTGTGCGATAGATTTCACTTCGTTTCGCGGGAGCTTATTATCTTGCACGCATAGGATGACAATCCTGCACGCGATTCAGCCCCGCATCGATTCATTCTAATTTGTCGGGTATTAACGCGGCTGCGGGAGCCACGTGTCGATTCATCTCGCACGACGATGAATCGCGCGAATAATCCAGGACGAAATTCCGACCAGCCGAGCGGGCGGTGAGCCGACCGAACTGGTAGGTGCCGCATTTCGCGCCGTTTCACAAGCGAAATGGGTTCGAGCGAGCTCAGCGAGAGCGCCTCCTCGTTAAAAATCCAGCTAATTTATAGCCGGCATCTTTTCATTCCGACCTGCCGCGCAAACGTTGAGAGTAAAGAATGTTACACAGTAGCGAAATAATTACGCGCGAAAATTCCGGCGGAAACTCCGGCGCGCGCAAGGCGCCGGATATTTTCCCTTCTGCACGTGAATTTATACTAAGAGGGACGAAATGCAAATACACTTTTTCCCGTCTGCTTTACATCAAAGTCGAGTCAGCTGCCTCTTGTGCGGCGAGCGATTACTATTTACATCCGGAGAGAGCGGGAGAGAGATTGTTAATATTAAAAAATTTGATTAAAAACCCCACCATCATCTCTTATCAAATTAGCCATTTTCAATCATTATTTTCACTTACAAAGCATTGGTAATTAATTGCCATCCTCATCTCATTATACTTAGGTTTTCATTATCGTTACTACACAATGAAAAAAATTGTTATGTTTTTATGTAGAAATGGCCCACTTTCGATTTACTTTAATATGAGGAATATGCTGAAAAGCACACAAATATAATGTTAAATTATATATATTTAACACAGAATTTTTTACTATATATGTTTGTAACCTGTACTTCTTCTTCTTCTTATTATTATTATTAATTTCTTTATTTTTATTGTATCCCAATTTCTTTTCAACTTTTTCTTTCTTTTCTATTTTCCTTTCTTCTTTTTCTTGTGGCGATTGTCTACCATATTCATATTATATGGTATCATTTTTTGCTCTTACAAGATTTATCTTATAGCATAATGAAGCAGATTCTATTCTGTTCTAATAAAGAGGAAATCCTCCTCCGCCTCCTTATATCATCCTTTTGGATTGTAAAAACGACGAAAAAGCAAAACACACGTCAGCTGAAGAAAAAGGACAAATCAGACGCAATGGGCGGAAATGCGGAGAATAAAAGACCGCTGCGCTTTAATATCGCGGATCCCGCCGCAGCTTCTTGCATGCCAATGTGTCACCGTTGCTGCACGGAGGAGCGCGGATCAATGAAGTCGTCGGGACGATACCGGCGCGGCGACGATATTTTCCGTGGCGCGGCGGGAATCGATCTTGCGCTATTTCGTCGGGTGAGCATCAAACACGAGGCGAAATTTTCTTTCTTTCCCGAGATGAGAAGACCTTCTGCAGAGTAAGCACGCGTGTATACGCGCAGTGACATTGTCTTTTATACGTGATAAAGCGCGTTTATCGGTCATTAAAGGCATGCAATGTTGATAAGAAGGAAGTTTTTCGCGAGGAATCGCGGGGATAAAAATTTAGTGATGAATGTGGCCGCGGAAACAGCGAATTGATGACACGAACGAGCGAACGAACGACAGAAAAACCAGTCTTCGACGTAGATCAATGTGATCCACGAAGCATCTTTCTCGCGTCGAGGATCACGTAGCGCGCGCGCGAGCGGATTTTTTCCTTAGATTATCTGATTCCGATTATTTCGCAGCAGTCGAGAGACGCGTGATTAACGACGGCCGACGGTTTTATTTATATCGGTGCAGGTTGTAGGTGCGTATAAATCTCCCTTCGTGCACTCACGCTCGCTCGCTTGCTCGACCGGAACGAGAAACACCGTTAACTGGTCTCGGAAAAAAAAGAGGAGAAATAGTAGGTGTTTCTCTCTCTCTCATCACACACATACACGCACACGTAGTTTCTCAGGAACAGTAATAAAACGATCGCAAGTGCATAAATCTTTCGGCACAAATTCTCCCGACCATCTACACTGGTACACGCACGGCCGGATAGAACAGAAAACTTCGCGCAATTACTTCATAAAAGTCAAAGGCCGCGTAAATAATTGGCCGGTAAACAATTTTCCGAGCGGGCCCGCGCCCAGCCGGACACGCTTTCCGCTCTCCCCGGGAATAGATCCCGCGTGCCTGTAATTTTAGTTGAAATTCCACGGTCCGTTAAATTATACGGAGAATGGAATCAACTTCCTAATGATCACGATCCTCGCTCACGCCAATAAGCGCGCTAAGGGCGCCGAACAACGTTGCACTCGGTTGCCTATCGATTTTCCTCCGTCAATTTTCGCGTATTCGGAAATACAACCGCTATGCGCGTCTCCCTAGCCGGCTAGGAAACGGAATGTTCGTAGATTACGGGGGATATGAGCGAGCGAGCGAATGTACAGAACACGAATGTACATAAACGAGCAAGATAAAAATCGGAGAATATAGCCATCGGGGGAGAGAGTCGACTTATTACCGAAATATCGACGTCGAGGTCACCGCGATTTCATTTACAATTTATGCCCACGTGCGGAACTTTTTACAAGCAACCGTCACGCGAACTGCCGCCCAGACGGGAACTTCCCATTGGAGTTTCGTGGAAACGAAAATATCTCGGTACGTCTGCCCTTTCTCCTTTTTTTCTGTTTACGGGATTCCGATCTCTCATGTACGTACCGGCGCGATTCGGTACGAATAAATTCATAACGTCGCTACATTATTCATGGCGCGCGAGCGTGTGAAACTCTTTGGGCAGCGACGAGGCGATTCCCGACGAAGTGAGCGTCGACGTTTACGTGTTGTCGCCCTGTAACTTGAATATCATCGATTAAGTCGTCGATGAATCGACTTCATGCGAGAAGGGAGACGTGTGCATGCACATATGTTTCTCGTCAGTAACGAAATATCGGCGCGCAATCTTGGGTGCGGAACAAGAAACGCCGTTACATGAGCTGAGAGTTGCAAGAAAGGAAATGTTACGTCCGTTTGTGCGGGATACAGGACACCCAGCACTCAGAAGTGTATGTGCACTCACAGTATGTGTCGATCTTCGCCGCCGGTGTCGGGAGTCGTGTTGTGTCTCGAGGTATCAATTCGTTTCCAATATACACACACACACACACACGAGCCGCGCTAGAAAAATTATATAACGACGACTAAAGACGATATCGGATTTCGGAGAGGATGATCTTTTTTTCCCTCGTCCAGATTGGAACGGAGTTCCAATTAAGGAGAGATACACTGGGAGTCAAACGGTCGTTTCGGGGGGATTATCACAACAGCGGCGGTATCGAATTCATCATTACAGCGCGAGACGCGAGAACGGAAATGAAGTCAACGACAAAGTCGCCGCGATGAATGTTCAAAGAGTTTGCACGCGTTATCGGTCGTAATGAGATACCGAATTAAACTTTCCGTCCGAGGATATCGCGCACGGGGCACAGTGTTACGTAATTTCGCGTAACTTTTATCGCGCTAATTCACCGTATTACATTGTTTTTAAATGCACGCACGTGGGTGTGCGCGAGGTTACATTGGGTTAGTCGGCACCGCATGCATAATTTCTCGCTTTCTTGCTTCCTCTCTTTAATTCTACGTGTCACGTGAACGCGAGTATTCGCGTGCCGAGTAAACGTCTCAATTAGAGACTCGGTATTGAAGTAGATTGAATTTACTCGCGATAAGCGGGAGGGGAGGGGATCACAAAAGTGTGCGAAGGGTGGCACGGCGAATCGATTTCTCAGTGGTTACAACGAGGCCCGCGATTAATCGCTTCCCGGCCGATTTTATCTGGTCGATTCTACCAGTCGGATGCCATATTTTCACACCTTAATACCATCGCGAATTTGATTTATGACGTTGGAGCATCGACGTGCCCGGAGAAATCGCTCGCACGGGGCATCTGTTATTGTTAACGTAATCAGGAAAGGTTCTTTCGTCCTTGGCCGATCGCGGGGAAATTCTGAAACGAGAAAGAGAGAGAGAGAGAGAGAGAGAGAGAAAAGCGAAATACGAAATACGCGTGCAAATCCAACGTACAATATGCACGTGCTGGAAATAAATCGGGATGAATATTGAAATAAAGTTGCTTCGAGAGAGAAAGAGAAGGCGAAACTTTCTTGTCTCTCGCGGCTATGTGTATCTCTCGAGGTAACTTTTTAAGAAATAATTAGAGCGATATCGCGTTGCGAGAGCCCCAGCGGCAAGGTCACAATATATTTGATCCCTATGGCTCTTAAACGCTACATTTATCGGAAAGCTCGCAGTTCTTATTATAGAAATGCTGCTTCTTCCGCCGTGAAATATAATTTTGCCGCTTCTAATAACTAATAACTCGTTTCCCTCCTGCGCGCCTGATTGCGAGCAGGAAGCTAGGGACGTAATTGAAATCTAACTTCTCTCTCTTTCGCTTCTTTTCGCTCGAAGCGTCCCATTTTTAGAATATTCCGGTTATTTTCGCTTCGCCGGACAGAGAGGAGGAACATCCCGCGCGCGGGAGAGAGGAAGACCTTTCGCAGGGGGAATCTCTTTCCACGTACGAGGTAATCTCGACTACATTTTGATTTCCGATACACCGCTCTTGACGATCCATTATGCATCGTATTTTCTCCGGGCAATCTCAAAATTATATCATTTCGTTATATCGCGCCTCTCATTTTAATTCCAGGTCTTATCAATCAGGCCCGGCATAAATTTCCTTTCGTTATTCGAGCCAGGGACGAGAACAGAAATAACCGATCATCGTCGCGG